CCATGCTTCATATATTGGAAGGCTTTCATCAAGGTGGCCAGCCCAATTACCAACAAAATGCCAAAGCTCATTGAAGGCATGTGGCATGAACCACCAGTTGATGAGGCCCTGAGAGTAGCTGGCCTGCATCCCATCTCAACTTTCTCAGAGGCGGACAACAGGTGCGACTATGTCGCCACTCACCCAATGTTTGACCTGTGTGGGCAAGTTTCAAGGATGTCAGGTACTCCACACCAGCTCTGGCTGTGGGACCTCCTTTAGCCACAGCGCTGATTGTAGTGATATGTAGGCAGTCTTTCGTGGTGCTGTGTCCACGTTCTCCAGAGCCTCTGCCTGGGATTGGGATCCCATGTTAGGCAAGCTCTGCAGAACCTGCAAGGACCATTAACACACAACGGTTCTGGCAGACTTTGCACTCTACGAGCACAGAAGACAGAGGCCAGGCCGGTGGCTCACCAACACCTATTCAGTACATGTGCACCTTCACTATCTAGAGACCAGGCCCAGCAACACCTACATCAAGGTGGAAGCATGATTCTGAAAACTCTGACAATTTCAATCTATCCTTGCAGTTGCAGAAGAAGTGAGACTCTGAGTGCAGCAGCTGCAAAAAGCGCCAAACTTCTTCTACTTCAAAGAGCCTTTGTCGTTGGAGAAACCGTCCAATTGGATAGATAGATGGATCCTCCAAACTGGGAAGCAATGTCTGACAACAATGTAAATCATCATGCATACCTGGGCTCCACAATATCGCAATGTTGGGACTCGTCACTCCATGCCAATTAATGCCAGTCCCAGCCATATTGCAGGTACAAACCCAACTAACAGACATCATCGCTCGCACACAACCATTCTCCAACGCGGCATGTAACGGTGTGCAACCTCGAGGTTGTAGCGAGTGAAGTCCGAGGCTACGCGCCACAGTGTGTTGTCTGTCAGTCAACATTGTTGGTTGCTCCAGCTTTTGCAATCACAGCACCTAGCTAGCAGGCTAGCTACCGTAGCTAGTACAGCTGTAGCTCGCTATTAGACCCCGTCCAGGCAAGCAAATGGTGCACTATCACGGTCTCAAGGAAACTCGATAGCTTGCCATGGACTGTACCGGTACGTACGAGAAGCAAGCGCCATCTTTTTCGTCTTGTAAAAAATTGTAGCGTTAGCTTGGTCATTTTAATGTGGATGCGCAAAAACGCGGTATGGTGCTTACTTTACAACAGAAGTGTCAAAAACTTATATGATGGAGGTAACAAACAGTACATCTGACAAGAAAAAGTGTCTGCTTGCCAGCCAGTCATCGTCACGAATTCAAAATATGCCTGCTACCTCTATAGCTAGCTAGCAATCGATCTGGACAGCGGAAGTCAGCCCTGACACGGTCGACAAGAAGTCGTCATCATCATCCGGTTCCACAGCAGTGATTGGTGCGGGGCGCATGTTTGCACCAGTGAACTGACTGGCAGATTCCCCTGTAGATTGCTTGTGTTTCCTAGATTGTTTTTCGTTGAAGGAGGAAGTCGAACCAGAAAAGTCGAGGTCCTGATCTGATGGCTCGGGTCTCTCGGGCATTTTTGGTCTGTGGTCTCTCTCGTTGCTGCCACTGGATTGGGAACTGCGAAAGGGTGATGGCATCTCCCTTCTCTGATCCCTTTGTTCCTCGGGGCTGGAGGTCATTGTCGCAACAGAGACGATGCCCCGCGGTCGGTTTCGGATTCGTCCGGCATCAATTCTGCCAACCATGGACTCGAAGAATCAGATTCGTCGATACCCGTTTCCACGTATTCCCCCTTCATGGTGTGTTGTAGGACGATCTGAGCTCGCTGGTTGTTTACTTTTTGAATCTGTTCTCCCAGTTCCTTGGCCCTCTTGGACGTACTCTTCCTCAAGAACAGGGTCTTTAGGAGTGTCTTGGTAGCTCCTTCGATCATTTCCTCGACTTTTTCGGTTTTACCCAAGTTTCCAAGGGTGGTTCGCCTTTGGTTCTTGGCCCGAATACCCCTTCGAACGGCACCGGCAATCTGACCGCGGGAGACATCCCACTCCTTGCGAAGCATCTCCATGCGTATCGATCTAGGCAAGATCATCTCGCTTTGTGTCCTTCGCACTGGTCTTGACTTTTCGTATTCTTCCACGGCGAGGACCAGTGTATTGGGATTGTACTCCCACGAAATCGTGACGGGAGGGCCTGAGCGAGAAGATCGAGTAAGAAGTGGCAGGAAAGAAGACCCATCCAAGAAACAGAAAGGGGATAATGTCAATCCAAACTCATATAAACATCCACCAAAAGACGAGCCACTAATAAGAATAAGAATCGAATCTTCGTACCTGAACTAACAGAGGGATTATCCCCCACCGTGCGATTATACTCTCGGATTTCGATATTTTTGAACGTAATGTGTTCAGGTCTGTTGCCGGTAGCCTTGGAGTCGGCGGATCCATACTTGCTGTGGAGACTCTCATCCAACGTAGTGATCTTCATGATACCCTTGATGTGTCTCCAACCAGACATTAAAGCACTATCCATAGACTTGCCTCGAGACGGACGCGGCTGACGCGGCGGACTTGTCTGCCGCCGAGGTCTCCCGGCATTCTGCTTGATACTGGAGTGCCTCTTTATGCCACTGGCAGCAGGATCCGATGAAGATCTTCGTCGCATCATGGTGCCTTCTGAGTTCGTTATTGTAGTGTAGTGCCTCCTTTCTCACTGGCGTGGAGACCTGAAGCTTAACACTCTGAACAAAATGCGAGAGATGCCTCTCCGCAGCAACCAATCAAGATGGATGTTTATGCTTCGCTTGCTATTGTAGAAGCTTCGATGGTATTGGGTCGAAGCTGCAGCTGTCGCGGCGCTTCGAGTGCCACACAAAGAGGGGAGAAAGTGGAAGAGAACAAACCCTTCTGCCTCCGTTGTGAGCGGCGGAGCTTACACCATCCTTCCCATTGCTGAATGTGACAACGGAAAGTGTGGTTTCCGCAATTGATAAGGGAGGTTTGAAGAAAAATGGCACTAAGAATGCCCAGAGTCATAGAAGAACTTTTCTAGATGTCCCCGGAATTCACGTCATCGACGGCCTTGACATCTCAACTCCAGTGAAAAATACTGACCATCCGAGGTCAACACCAGCCCGTTGCAACGTGGCAGTGCTGCCCAGGAGTCAATGAAGCCACAATGGATGAGGCAATGCAATTTGGCTAGCTAGCTAGCTAGCTATTGTGACATCCGTCAAATGAAGCCAAGAGATCCCTATCTTGGTGATCGCTTCGACGGCTTTGATTTATCTGCAGGATTTGGCTGATTGGAAGCTTGCTTCATGAATGGCTGTGTCTACACCTACCCGTAGTCGCTGTTGCCGGCTAACAAGGTGTCGATTCTACCTCCTATCAAACGAGAGGAGTGTTGGATTTCGGGGCGGTCCGGAACAAGCAACTTTGACAGATAGATGGATATAGTCAAACTTAATCATGTACCCGGTACCCGGATCGTTCTGACTTGCAAACCACACTTTACAGATACCTGTAGCTATGTACTCTGGAGTATAGAACTTCCCCAGCTCTGCTGTGTGGAGACAATCCTCAATCCTCCCGACACACTCAATTGAATGGTACCTGTATGGTTGTACCATGGGATTCCACTAGCCAAACCGCTCCATGCCTGTCGGAAGCTTCACAACCTTTTCCAGGTTGTGTTTTGTCTACTAGTAGTTTGGAATAGGAAAAAGATCTGATTTCAGAAGCACCTCATAATTAATCCATAAATCCTTTATTACTCATTGATGGACGAAACAATCTACACTAGCTACTAAAACTAGAGTAGCTAGCTAAAGGACGGAATTGCTTAGAAACATAAAATATTATGTTTATTCGACCCCTGGCAGCAATCCAATGGATCGCAACATCCACAACTTCGATCAGACTGCCACCTGCGCTGATTTGTCTACTATTTGATCCTCTTTCTTTCAAGTCCTCCAAACAAACCATCCACCATGCCGCCGAAACGCGTAAAGAAGGTGATGACCCTTCCCATCAATGTCATCTTCTCGCACCTACAGGTAAGTGTCTCTTATTTTGGGATTGCATACGAGCACGCCGCTGCATATACCCTCCGTCAAATGTCGGTCAAGTTTGTGCCCGTGTCGTGTTACCTCACACATCTTTGTTTCAATTCGTTTTTCATTGATTTGTTGCCACATGTGTAGAAAAAGACTCGTGTGAGAGTAGGCTTGTATGAAGACACTCGTCTCCAAATAGAGGGCCAGATTATTGGATTTGATGAATACATGAACATGGTCTTGGATGATGCCGTGGAAATTGATTCCAAGAAAAACAAACGAGTGGAGGTTGGAAGGATTCTACTCAAGGGGGATTCTATTACCATGCTGCAAGAAGCACAACCAGTAAGGCCGATGCCAGCAGGTGGGGACTAGTAGAAATACATATCCCACGGGTGTGAGTCTGTGTGAATTGTATGAATCAGATAGAGCTTGCCACAAACGATAGGAGGATGATGAAGATGATACAGTGCTGGCTAGAACAGTCTTTGCTTTGAGTTATTCGCTCGTGCCCAACAAGGCGATTGGGCCCTGTTCTTTTGACGACTTTGCCAGGCAGTATTCCAATCTATTCCAAAAGTAAAGGATGTTTCTCTCCCCTAATAGCCATCCTTAAAAAATTGCCAGAACTTCTAGCCAGAGCCAAATTGCACAATACATGTACTGTACCGGTATGTGCACTTATTATGGTCTGGGTAAGCTATTCAAAGCCTTCGAAATATGTCACCTTTCCGTGAGGGTGATCTTGTCTCACCCTGGCCTGGACCAAGTCAATAATTCTCCGATCTGCTGTGCAGGTGGAAGAGACAAAACCGTATCCCGTTGTCTCTTTTGTCTTCCTTCTCCTTGTAACAAATAATAATGAAGAGAAATCACTTGCAACCCCCGGTGTGCCACCAAGGCCAACCCCATTGCAACAATAATAGCAACTCTCCCACGACAAGCTCCTAAGGAATCGCTATTTTTGCTTTTTGTGCATTACATTGTCTTCTACTAACCTGTTACCACCATTTCTCAACAACACCCCTCCGAGGGTAACCAGCCCGTCCTTCTGGAGTGCCCTGGTCTCCTTAATACATACATGTAGTGGGCTCGTGTGATGGTGGTTCCTCTGTACTTTTCAGTCACAAAGTTGAATCCCGCCTTTAGAGTGACAGCATCAATAATTCGATCAAAGGGCTACGACCGTACCCACAACGGCACAAAAACTAGTCTTGACCATGGACCTGTTGAAGCGAGAACTGGAACGAAAGAAGAAGACGGTTGAAAAGGCAAAGGCCACTTCAGGTGGAAGGCGATTCTTCAGAGCTGGTGATCTACGTCGCCAGGAGGAGGAAGAAGAAGAGGAAAAGCAGGCGAAATACGCCGCGAGTCGAAAGAAGCGAAAATTGGGTTCCGACCAAGACGATGATGACCACACGACAACGGCTGCTTTAGGGAGCAAAAAGAAAAAAGACAAAGGTTCCCAGAAAGCTAAAGAATCGGAAACGCAAGAAAAAGAAAGCAGTGTCAGCAAGAAATCTCAGTCCGAGAGCAACGAAGCGGTGAGATTATCATCCGATGAAATAACCAAGAAGCTACGAGCGTTTGGGCTTCCCATCAAGTTATTCGGAGAGAGCCTTGAGGATCGTGTGAAACGTTTGCGAAAGGCACTCGATGAGCAACGAAAAGCTCAAGCTGGCGATGCGGAAATGGATGAATTTCGCCTTGGGAGAGGTCATGGGATCCGTAATACATTTTTGGGGAAGGATAAAGATGATACTACTGGAGCCGGTGAGCAAGCTCACGTTGAGGAAACCGATGCGGCAAAAGACGACAAAGAAACCGAAACCAAAGATGATGACGACGACTTGGGTGACGACTCCGACCCACACAAGAGAGTGTACAAATATTTCAAGGGCCTTCTGAAGGGGTGGGAAGACGACCTTGTTGCTCGGCCGGACTCCGTCAAACGAAGTGTAGCAGGACGAAATGAAACCAAAACCCTGAAGCAATGCAAAGACTATATTCGACCCATGTTCAAGTTGCTCAAGAGCCGCCGAATGTGAGTTTATGTTTTGCAACAGTTGCAGATTTCAGTTCAAATCATTTATTTCATCTGACTTTCAATTTGTTTTTGCTGTTGCTGCTGCTGAAAAGGGATGAAAGCATCTTGACAAAATTGAATCGAATTGTTTCATTTTGTCTGGAGGAGGAATTCGTCAAAGCCCATGATACCTACATTGATATTTCTATTGGGAGGGCTGCTTGGCCCATTGGCGTTACCATGGTAGGGATCCACGCCCGTACTGGTCGAGCTAAAATCGAGAGTTCCAATGTTGCTCACGTCATGAATAGTGAGCTGCAGCGCAAATACCTCACTTCAGTCAAGCGATTGATGACCTATGCGCAAAAGAAATCTGCTGCAGACCCCTCCAAAAAGGTACTGTAGGGCATCTCCCAAAGCCTTGTGGAGGTCGGGTCCAATGAAAGCATAGCATAGAATATTTTTACTCTTAGTGCACGAATTAAGCATGTACAGTACCTGGAATTCTCTGAAAGCTTCCAAGCTGTCATCAACGACTGTAAACGCAGGATCAGGATCAAGTTCCATGATTCCAAGACCCACTGCAGCACCAGCAGCGTACGGCCCTGCGGTATCCCAAAGCCCAGGTATTACTGAACGTTAGTTTTGGAAAGCGAGGTGAAATCGATGAGTGTATCAACAGTGAAGAATTTAATTTCTTATCCAAAAGGCAAAGCATGCATTCAATGCAACCTTCATTACTACCAGTATTATCAACATCCTGACCTTATGTCAGTTCCTGTGGCGGACTGCTCACTCAAGCATCTACCAGAGGCGCCTTTTGCTCTGGACCGACCTTTCAAATTTGTCGTCAGCATCTCCAAGAAGGTTCAAGAGTAGAGAATCGGCATTCAAGTACACCTTGTTTCCACTTCCCGCCACAATATCAGCAATGTCTCTAGCGGCATCAATGCGACGCAATTTCATGAAACCAGGGTTTCGCTTTACAGCATTACCAATGAGAGAAGCAGACTCGGCTTCTCCCTTGGCTTTGGTGATGATGGTTTTCTTTTCTTGCTGAGCTCCAATGACAACGTACTTGGCACGTTCAGCATCCTGTTGGGCTGTGCGTCAAGACAAAGAAAATAAACAGATTGGTCAGGTTTGAGATAAAAATTTTGGACGATGCATAAAATAGTTTTGCGGTTCACAAATTGAAGATAAAAAAAGAAACTCACCAACTTGCTTGGCTTCGACAGCCCTGGCGTATTCTGGGCTGAAACTGAGATGGGTAATGGCCACATCCTCCAGCAAAACGTTGAAAAATCCAGCTCGCTTTCTCAACTCGACCGAGATCTCTCGAGACACCTGGTCACGCTTGGTGAGCAACTCATTGGCATTGTAGCGTGCCACGACGGCTTTGGCACACTCATTCATGACACTGGGCAAGATCCTCTCATCGTATTTGAGTCCCAAATATCGGTAGATCCAGACCAACTTGTTAGGATCCGGTTTGTGCAGCACACGAATGGCAATGGTAACCATTTGCAAATCCTTACTTCCCGTGAGAGTCTGCAGGTTGACGGGTCGTGTTCGGATGTCGTAGATGATGGGCCTCTCGAACCAGGGAATGTTGAAATTGAGACCTTCGCCATAGACGGTATCTTTCATTCCCACAATACGATTAAACACCACGGCACGGTGACCTCCTTGGACTGTGTAGATGGAATTGTAGGCTCCGTATCCCAGACCAGTAGCGACGGCAATGGCTCCCACACTTCGAGCCGCAGCGGCAGCCGCTGCTTGAGCTCCGCCTCCACCACCTCGTTTTCCGCCTCCACCGCCGCCACCACCCATGTTGCCCATTTGCTGGCCCAGGTTCTTCATCGCTTCGCGCAATCGATTAGCTGCCATCTTGCTTTCTTCTTTTTGTTTATAGAAATAGAACTAACGCTATCTTAAGATTGCTGATGAATTGTTGGATTATTGTGCTCGACTTAGCTAAACGTGATAGACAATCAAAGAGTGGTCGAGACTATGGTTTCTGCAAATACAATCCACAAAGCAGCTCGAAGAATGCAGCAGCAGCATCATGAGAAGCCTCACAAACCACGAAAGAACGTCGCCGAGAGAAAGATCTTTGGGTGGTCATCGGCCCTCCTTCGTCGGAAGCGGATCGAAGCTTTCCGAAGGATGAGTTCTTCCACTTTCCGACGGGTGACGGCAAGACCGTTGGCTCGAAAAGGACTGGCCGGCGTTGTCACACCCGTCTCTCTGTTCTCTCGCACACAACAGCAAACAACAGCAACAACAGCAACAACAGCAGCAGCAAAAGCGCATTGTTTATTGAAGTGGCTTGCAACGTGCATCAATCTCTATCTAGCTAGTACCATGTCGGCTGGAATTGCTCAAGGACGTCTCCGAGAGGAACGAAAGAACTGGCGAAAGGACCATCCTTATGGCTTCTTTGCACGCCCTGAATCATCGGGAGAGGGATCTTCCAATATCATGAAATGGAACGCTGGCGTCCCAGGCAAGTGTGGTCAAGTTCGGGGGCCATGGTTGTGCTGTCGCTGCTAGCTAGTCTCCTCACACCGACACCTTCTTGTTGCTGCTTCAGGGAAGGAAGGCACAGATTGGGAGGGTGGAGTGTACAAAGTAAGACGACAAAATGTTCAAAGGGTGACAACCGTTTTTCCGAGAGTTTATGTGAACCTGACACTGGCCAATCGACTTTCTTTGCGACTTGACTCAGGTTGCCATGGAGTTTAGCGCGGATTATCCATCCAAGCCACCCAAGTGTGAGTTTCTGCTCGTAATGTTTGGGATTGACAAAAAGCGAAATCGGTCTCACATCATGCTCTTGAATTGATTCATCATGTGATAGGCAAGTTTGTGCCGCCTCTTTTTCATCCCAATGTGTATCCATCGGGAACGATCTGTCTTTCTATCCTTAACGAGGAAGAAGGGTGGCGACCAGCTATCAGTATCAAGCAGATTCTGTTGGGAATCCAAGATCTGTTGGGTGAGTCGAGTCAGCGGTCTAGGACTCTCGCTGTCATGTCATGCCGCGACATCCACCCATTGTTGGCTCACTTTTGTTTGTTGTTTGCACAGACGACCCTAACCCAGCCAGTCCAGCCCAAAGTGAGGCCTTCAATCTTTACATGAATGATAAAGCCTCGTACAAATTGCGAATTCGGGCCGAGGCAAAAAAGAACATGCCTTAAAATGAGAGTATCACTCCACACAACACCACAATTTACATACAATTTCGTCGAGAACACTAAACATGGAAATATTCTGACGGTGTTGCGGGGCAGCCATGCAAATGTATTTTCCAAGAAGAGAAGAAAGAGCAATCTGCTATACGAACGAAAAAGTCTCAATCAGCATCGCATCAGTCGGCAAGGATAAAGACCTGAGCTCCGATATCTAGCAATGAATCGAGGTTTTGTAGGAGTAATGCACTAGTACTTATTCGGTTACTTCCGATTGGGCCTGTGTCTTCATAAACATGTAGTATGTCATGTTGTCATGCCAGCTGCGACGAGTTTCGTTCTCCGTCTCGTTTTTCACGTCCAGGGCCGTCAAGCCATCGGAAGATTGAGCTTCTCTACGATGTACCGCTACCGGTTCCGCGATTAACAAAGAGCTGGGTCTGATGAAACTATTCCCCGCCTCGCCTCAAATTCAAAGAGCGTCGTGCGTAGAAAGCCCAGCAGACACGATTATGCTCTGAATAGGAGGTGCATGCCTTGGCGTTTTTCGTAGAATGTACTCATGGTGGTGGATGAGCCGAAGTTGTTGATGGCGTAATTGTCGTACTGTATTGGGTAATCTCCTTCAGACAATCCAACTGGCATTTGCCGTCATTGGAGTTGGGTCCCAGATTCTCGCTGACGTTGTCGCGTCGTTGATGAATGCCAATAATAGCATCCACCTGCCATGTTGCATGGCAGTCTAATATCTAGAGAATAAATTCCATCAAGTGCTCCATATTCTTCATGAGACAGCTTCATTAGCAGCATAGTTCCGTCCACGATAGTATTATACTAATTTCCATACAGAGTAGATTTACTGGACCTTCTTCTTGGCATCCTCCGGTTTCTTGGGGGTAGGAAGCAAAGTCATAGCAATGTAAGCGCCAATCGACAAAATGTGTCCAAAGAAGTAGTGGCTCTTCCAAGTGGCAATTGCTCCATCGAGTTGAAGAATGATAAACGCCGAGACCGTGTACTCGACAAAAAAGGATGTAACGAACATGCAAAAGAAGTCGTATGGGGTCCACCTAGCATCAGAAAAGTAGGGAGAAATCTTCTTCTTGGCCAAACGCTCGCAGAAGGTCAAGAGGGGAACCGATAAGAAAAACAGGTAGTATCCTGTGGCAGCGAAAAAGTAAGTGGCAAGAGTCGAGTCAGTTGCATCCGTCCAATTAGTCAGCTCAAAAGGAAAAAGGCGGCTGGGGCCACCAAAGTTCTGTCCTCACCTGGGTAGAATCCGTGCCAAAACGCACTCAACATATACACTGCCATCAAATTTCCACCAGTCCTGATGTACACATAGCGGGTCAACCAAAGAGACGTTTTCTTGTTCCAATCTTTACTGAGAGTAGACAGATTGGGTGCAAGTTCAAAACCAAGAACGTCCACATTGCTAGCGACACCCCATCCCTTTGGCTCGCCCTTCTCGTCAAATCCCTCGAAACCGGCGTAAAAAAGATTGTTGGCACCCTCTGCATTCAGCCAAGCAAAGTAATACTTGCAGCGAGTGGCGAAGAGTCCGATCCACATGTAACCGTATCGATAGAACCAAGGATTTTGCAAGAAATCTTCCTGGGCTAGAACAGGAGGGTTCTTTTGAGAGTCCGTGGGGTCCAACAGAGGGAACATTCCACCCAAACCGACGTGGATTCCCAACAACAAGAAACTCTTGAGAAATGGCAACAATGAGGGCACCAGAGTACCGGGGATCTTTCCACGAGGTTTTCCGTCCTTGTCGTATAAAAGAGACCCATCGCAGGCATCGCGGTAGACCGTGAACTCATAAGCAGGGCCGGCCAACATACTTGCAAAACAAAAAGTGTAACCCAAGTACTCAAGAAGGCCTGGGAGCTCTTTTAGAGCATACTTTTCGCATTTCTTAGCTGCACGGTCTGCGTTTCCTTTTGCCAGAAGGTCTCCGTCGTGGAGATTGAAGGCCATCATGAATAGCTTTTGTGTGATAACCTGCCAGAGTGCGGTGCGTAATTATTCCAGTGAGTGCATGCCAGTCAAAATAAATGACACCCGAATCAACAACACCCGAATCAAGAGAATCTGTTCCCCATGTACTCACCATTTGTGCACCGGTAAAGTCCAAATCCCAGCCCAAGTAATTGATGTACTGACGGTGCAGATGGCCCAAAGTCATGTATACCATGACAAAAACAGGGACGACAATCTGAACTTTGTTGCGAGGGACGAACGCGAACAAGGCATATACCACCAAGGAAGTGATCATATGATGGATCCATTGGACACCGATAGTGAACTGAAGCAAGAAGGCACCCAAAATGAAGGAAAAGAAATGACGGGCCTTTCCAAATGGCATACTGTTCATGATCATTCCGCAGGGGTAGCACAACAACAATCCGAGGACATAGCTCAAAGTTTCCACATCGAACCCAATTTGATCCGACAAGCCTTGGACTGCTTCGCTCACAAAGGGAGGTACTGAAGATTATTAAAACAGAAACAAGTCGGAGATGGTCAGAAGATGATAATATTAAAAAACGCCACCAATGATGAATCAGATGCACCGCGGGGAAAGAAACTCACCCAGAACAACAGTAGGTGCCACATATTTCTCCAGAGAATAGATATTCTCTAGTGTTGCGTCCAAGACGCTTGTTACAGCTTCAGGAAGATGCATCGTTCCGCTCTTTTTCACTTCCAACCAAACAAACAAATGAGATTTGTCGTTCAATTGGTTTGTCGGTCAATAGGTGTGCGTGTCAAGGCATCCAACCCACCAAAAAGCTGACTTGTACGTTGAACCCAGAGCCGTCACCAAAACAAAGAAGGACAAGTCAGTGCGTGCAAAAACGATGATGTGTTACGTGGGAAAGTGGCATCAGTCACGCTTTTGATTCAATTGACTTAAATGTGACTTAAACCGTGACTGAAAGCTCCAGCGCCGAGCGCCAAAGGTTGGGCCGTGGCCGGACCAGGTGCAATTTTGCTCTCCGGATCGGACCCTTGAATATTGGTACCGGTACCGTTATGCATGCTGTTCTTTACCGAAGTCTACATGTAGTTTCACTTCACTGCTGAGCTATCTACATGCACTCTTTAGTCTTGCCAATCATGTTATCGAACGATCTTGCTGAACGAACCCAAAACGTTTGGATGAGGGGCCAGGTTCGGTCACAGTCTGCAAGCAGCATTGCAACAATGGCTCCTCCATCTGGACCTACCAGCCCCAATACCGCTAGACAATGCATCTTCCCCCAGAAACACCAATGGAGAAACTGATAGTTCTTGTAGTAAAAATGTCACAGTTTTCCAGAAATTCCCTCCTGAGAGAAGTCAACAAGTTACTAGTATCTGTGCTTAGAAGGTGCCAATTTGTTGACTTCTACAATTCTGTTTGCTTCTTCAAGCCTTCTCCAGTACTGAGTAGAAACCAGAGCAGAAAAAGACAAAACCGACGACAAGGAAGCATCTTTAACCGCTCACACCATTTAATATCAATCGTTGCTCTTTGCAGTACTACTATGCCGCGGCTTCTCCTGGGGGAGGCAAACCCATCGCTTCCAACATTGTGGCTCCCAGACGAGCAGGAGATCTAGAGATGTGAACTCCAGCATCTTCCAATGCTGCGAATTTTTCGGCAGCTCCTCCCTGTCCTCCGGCAACAATGGCCCCAGCGTGGCCTGCGTATAAATAAATAAAAGAAGGAACGACAAACAAACAAGGCCCGACCAAGGTTAGAAAAATGAAATGATCAGATCCGGTGAAAGAAGGATCCGTGATAAATGCATAAATAATTTTCTGTTGACGTACCCATACGACGACCTGGTGGAGCTGTCATTCCAGCGATGAAACCCACAACGGGCTTGTTGGGGTCTCCGTGTTCTTTGAGCCAGGCGGCAGCTTCTTCTTCGGCACTTCCTCCAATTTCACCAATCATGATGATTCCTTCCGTCTCGGGATCGTTCGTGAAACGTTCCAAGCAATCGATAAAGTTGGTTCCATTGAAAGGATCTCCACCAATTCCGACACAAGTGGATTGTCCCAAGCCAGTGGTAGTGGTCTGATGCACAGCTTCGTAGGTCAATGTTCCAGAACGAGAAACGACTCCAATCTTTCCCTTTGTGTGAATGTATCCAGGCATGATTCCAATTTTGCATTCTCCTGGTTTGATGATTCCAGGACAGTTGGGTCCAATCAAACGAGTGGCCGTCTGGCTACGGAGCGCGTACTTGACCCTGGCCATGTCTTTTTGGGGGACTCCTTCGGTGATTGCCACTACCAACGGAATTTCTGCCTCAATGGCGTCCAAAATCGCGGCAGCACAGAATGGAGGGGGTACGTAAATGACAGAGGCATCTGGATTGACTTCCTCTTTGGCTTCTTGGACGGTATTAAACACTGGCAATCCCAAGTGAGTCTGACCTCCCTTCTTGGGAGTGACTCCACCAACCATGTTGGTCCCATACTCAATGGCTTGGGTCGAGTGGAATGTTCCCTAAGAATAGTATATTGTAGGTCGTTCGTTCATTGAGAGTGAGTGAAGAGTAGATTGTTGTGTGGAATCGAGTCGAGTCAAACAAGACAAGGAAAGGTCGTGGGAGCGAAAAGGAACCAAAAAAGGGTGAGGAACGACCTGCAAATCACAAACCAAAAATACAAAACGAGTCTCTCGACTGCATCCATTGAATGGATGGATTGAACATCATGAAGTCAACTCAATCATACCTGCTTTCCGGTGAATCCTTGACAGATGACTTTGGTGTTCTTGTCAACCCACACATTGGCTGTGGACGACATGGACCTACGGCCCGCCTGCTCGAGGCGTACCAACAGCAAACGAGACTTGGTATTCAGGCTGCTGTTCATCTTGGAACTGATTATTACTAGATAATGAAACTAAATGTGGATGGCCAAGCGCAACTGATGGCTGGTTGTCAACTTCACACCCTTCTGTGTACCGGTATCTATCTTCGAGCTGCTGTCTGTGGGTTCTGCCAGAAGGCTTTTGGGGCTGGAGCCACAGGATCCGGAAGCGAACATCAAGATCTTTGACTTACACTGGGTCGGGTCGAGTCGAGTCCGATGTCAGTGCTTATCTTGTCGAATGAAGCATGGTATAGAGGGAGCTGGGGGGAAAGTACGGTCCATTTGATTCGGCATGAAAACAGTTATTGTTCCATCTCCCGAGTATAGAAGGCAAGACACCACCAAATCGACGCATGGGAAAGTTCGTCTCCTTTCGATGACAGTCAGGCCTCGAGAAAAAATCGATTTCGATTCGAATGAAGATTCGATTTTCAGAACAGAAAAATTACAGACCCACATTTGCTCCGACTGGGAAAGATCGACGATGATGCAAGTGCCAATCCAACTCGACAGTCGACCGCCACCGTTCGCGAGACCATCACCATCGATCGTTGGGTTCTAGTACAGTACACACCAATAGTTGCGTTGTAGTTGAGGAAGAAGAATTGTAGAGGCGAAACAATGAGAGCAGCACTACTAAAGAACCTCCGCTCGGCCGCTTCTCGCGTGGGGCGCACTTCCATGGCGTCGCGACCACTGGTCGCATCCACCGCCATGCGATCGTTTGCGACGGCCACTGCTGGCGGCAACCTCAGTGTCATGACCAAGGAAAATCCCCACGTGGATGTGGTGCGCTATGAACACAAGAATCGAAAATGGAGTCTGGGTCACGTGGATTATTACTCGGAGGCTCTCGCCATTGGGTTTGTCGAGAGTGGATTGAAGCCCGGAGACGCCGTCCTTTGCTACTTGCCTTTGCACTTTTCCGAAACGGTCAGTTTGGACATCATCGATTGTGGATGGCTGTTGTGTAGTGTTTCTGTTTGCTCACTTTGATTCTTGAACTTTTTGTGTCCAAATTTTTTATGTGGTTTTATCGATTTATCTATCTATCTATCTATCTCTAGATGGTCCTTCAATTCGCTTGTTCCAAGGCAGGATTTGTCTTTTACCACTTGGATCCTGCTCTGGCCGAAACGGACCCAGCAAAGTCCAAGACAGCCCTCGAACAAGCACTCACATTGTCCAAAGCCAACGTCTTGGTCACCCAGGAAGCTACAGATGATGTCAACTACATTAGTTTGGTGGAAGAAATCATCCCAGACATTGACGTGTTCGATTTTGCCAGCGGCATGCCATTTGTTTGCCCCCAGTTCCCACACCTTCGTTTCCCTGTTCACACTGGATTTGATCAAGAACAAAAATGGGGATTCATTCCCTTGAGACACATGTTGGTCCCCAGTGACAACCTAGACGAACAACTCAAAGGATTCGAGCTGTCTGGTTCCACACCCCTGTTGGGACAATTTACCTTGGGCAGTGATGGAGTCCCGACGAGTCTCGGCCAGACACTTACCAACGATCAAGTACTACAGGACAATGCTTGGCCAACCTTTGCGGCAATCCTCAAGAAGGAATTCCACGACGTCGAAGGCGTTGGTGTGGTTTGGTAGAAGAGCTATACATTATCTTTCCTTCAACATTATTTTACATTCTGTGTTTCGTTAATTCGGCAATATTAATTAATGGGATCTTGATGTTTTTATTGATATTGGTTCAGTGCATGTATGTTTCGTTTCATACAGTAGCTGCCAATCCCACTCCTCGAGATCATTTTGTTTCTTTAGAAACCTCGGGCTAGAAACAGGCTACCTCGAAAGTAGTTGAGAGTCGAGTCCATTCATTCAATCCCCCTCCTGTTTTGACCGAATATCTCGGAAGGGCTCTGTTCTGTGCTTATCACAGGATTTCAGTTTGTCAGCCCTGATCTCGAAGCAAAAGATGTGTGGCTACACGCATAATATACCACAACTCCGGTTCACCATTCAGGCAAATTGTGGATGCAAGTTTTAATGCTCAACCAATACCGTAGCTTCAAGGATGCATCCAACGTTACCGTAACCTGGTCTTCCCTTTGCATGCTTGCTTAATCTCGTTTCTGCAGATTGTTTTTCATTTTCTTCAAGGTTGATGCTTTATGCTTGCAACCCAGGTACCGTACATGTAGTACTAAAACATGTTGTACAGAATGCACGGTACGTTACGTCCAAGAAGGTCACAAAACCACATGGTAGACCAAGCTGCAACCAGGGCATGTGGCATAGATAATCGAGTCAACAGTGGACTGGTTGTCCTTTTTCTGAAAGGAGTCTTCGGCAAGCCAGATTTCCTCACCACACCGACACGTGTAGACATGGCTCAATTCGCCGGATTCTTCCTCTTCTACCAACTCCCATTCATCCTTCTCAACTTTTTGGCTCTTTGATTTTTGAGATTGGGCTCGGAACAATTCCGCATCATAGTCTTTTCGGGAGATTGGATCTCGCAGGCATTCCCATGCCTTTTGAAGCTTCAAAAACGCGGCATCATCTCGGTCGTCATTGCGTTTGTCGGGATGCAGTTTCCTTGCTAACGACTGGTAAGATTTCTTGATGGCGTCGAAGGTTGCTGTGGGTGGAACTTCCAGAATATCATAGAGGGTATTATTATGAGTGCCCCTGCCGAGAGCATCAAGTTGTTGGGCCATCATCATTGTGAAGGAAAGCCGAGCTGACCGCAAAGTGAAAAAATGAGTGGAAGGAGAAAAGGCTCTAACCTTACTGTAGTTTGCTTGGGATCTTTGTGACACTTTCTTTCTCGTTCTCTCGTTCTCTCGTTCTCGTCACAACAATCCAAGGATCCTCCCCGTGCATTTGATGCAACTCGTCGAAAGGTCAATCAAAAGCACGATGGCAACAACACTTCGAAGACTACTCATGAGACCAGGGACGTTGAGACCAACCGTGTCTCTACTACCGCATTTCTCTTTTTCTGAAGCATCGAGTTTCTTATTACTATCCAAGAAGAGCTCCCTCAGCAGAAGAAGTCTTTACAACTTTGCCGTGACCCGACAGATTCCAAATTCGTTTGTGAATTCCATCTCCAAGTATTACGAGAATAATAATCAAGATGACGCCGCAATCTCCATATCATTGGCCAAATCTCAACACGAAGACTACGTAAAATTACTGCGGCTGAAAGTTCCCACTCTGGAATTGCCTCCGTTGGAACATCACCCTGACTGTGTCTTTGTGGAAGACACGGTGGTAGCAGTCGACAATCGAGCCGTCATTACTTGGCCAGGACATGCATCTCGGCAGGGTGAAGTGGATTCCATCCGACAAGTGCTGGAGCAATTGGGAATGGATGTATGGGAAATGAAAACACAAAATGCGGACGCCATTTGCGATGGTGGCGATGTCATGTACACTGGCAGGCATTTGTTTGTGGGATTGTCCGAACGAACGAATGCACAAGGTGCTTCTGTACTCGAGGAGGCATTCTCACCATTACCCATGGTCACGGTGGCTTTGGATGCCAAAGATGCTTTGCATTTGAAGAGTATTGTCACTCATATGGATGAATACACCATATTGGCACCCCAGGGATCATTAGGCGACAAAGTTTTGCAAGCCATGGACGCGGCAGCTCTGGGCTATACGACGGTGCGACTGCCCGACATTCGTGCCTGCAATGTAGTCACAGTGAATGGCTTGATTGTGGCATCTGACAATATCTGCGAGGAATCAAGAGCGATTCTTCTAGACTGTGCACTGGAGAGAAATCTTGATGTGGAGTTCGTGGGAAACACTGAGATTGCCAAGAGTGATGGCGCAAACACCTGTTGTTCCGTGTTACTGTCTCTTTAATATTAAATCGATTCAATTCAATTAGCCAACAAACACCAGGAAAGCAATTGCCACTTGCGTAACGATAGCTATGGTCAAGTTTTGTGGTCTGTGTGAATGGTGGTGGTGTGAATGGCGGCTGAGTGACAGGGGGAGGCGTGAAAGGGGGTAAGGTGTATGGTAGTGGGGGGAAATGGTGGCTGTGTCACTGGTGGTGGGGAAAAGCAGGTCGCGTAAAAGGAGGTTGGGTGAAGGGAGGATTGGTGAAGGTGGGGGGGGCATGTTTTTGGAGGTTGCGTAATCTGAGGTGGTGCAATCGGTGGAGCAGTTATTGGGGGCAAGGTTGCAGTGCAGGTGGAGGTGTATAGAATGGTGGCAGTGGTGGAATTGTAATGGGTGGCACCGTCACTTGAGGGAGGTCCAGACTGCATGGCACTGGTGGTAAAGTGTGGTGGTCCTTATTTCTGGTACACATTAGACCTAGAGCCTTGGTTGCTGAACTAGAGTCTTCTTCTCTTTGGTGAAGGCATTACAGAACACCAGCAGCAAAAATGGAGTGCTCTTGAGTGATTTTGTCACTACTAGATGTTCTCCAAAAACTCAGCAGAAGGTGTTTGCATTGGTGAAGGTACCGGTAGGTGTTCCGGAACCACCAGAAGGGGCTGGATTACTCTTTAGTAATGTTGCGCCTTGTGTGGTGGACAGAAGTGGTGCCTTGAGGAGGATTGAATGAGGCCATGTTTTCAGAGCTTCAGAATGATGGTGCACCCAGTTCCTTATGGGCTTTAAATCTTTGAGTGTGAAAAAGCTCAAGAGACTTCTTCATTTCTGCGAGAGGAAACTGCATGCGCGGCCGTTGAGTGTCCATCATCAAGGCGAGGCAAATGGCAAATCCTCGCGTTCTCGTGTTGCAAACCTTCGATTGACGCTTCCCACTCAAGCCGTGTCGACGCTTGTTTCCTGCCAGTACTGTACTCTAGTTGTTGTGACGACAATAGAGAGACCATTTGGCGGCATCCGATCGACGCCATTTGTTTATTCTCTAAAGTGACGTTGCAGGATGTGGCTTCCATTTGGCAACATTGTGCTTCTGTGCTGCTTGCTGCTTGCTCTTCTTCCCACGGCAGAAGCACGGCGATTTCGGGTTTACTGCGAACTGGCAGATTTGCCAACAGTGACGTTGGAAAGGAGAAATGGCAGATGGACTCGACCTGGTGCCGAGAACAATACCGTGATAATTGACGGTGTCACGGTGGAATTATTTGGGGAGGAGGAAAGCCTGAGCAATAATCCCACCAATACACTGACGCTGGACGCCAAGATATGCTCCTGTTGGGACAGTCGAGTCTATGTGAATGGAACGGATGGATGGAACAGAGCATCTTTTTATTGTCCTGCACACATCAGCCACTGTGGAATTCCTTTCTTGAGACTCGGTGGCACTTCGAACGAGTTGCCTGGTTGCGTCAACGTATCGGAACGAACAAACTTTGTGAGATCTGTTTGGCCCCTCCTGGTCATCTCGTTCTTTTTCCTGTTGAGCTTTTTGCTCATGACCATGCGTGGCAGAGACGCAATGAGCTATTGCATGGGACTTGCATCGCCACAATGGAACAAGTGGAGAGTCGAACACATGATCGATCAGCGACCGGATCGTGCCAACGGACTGATGTTACGGTACTTTCGATGGGAGCAAAATAGGAATCGACCACTCACGGTGGAAGAGGAACGCATGCAGATTTTTGGACCCTGGGGTATGCAAGTTCGATTCTCCCAGACACCGATACAGCTGGGACGAGAAGAATGGGAACTACTGATCCGGGAACCTCAAATAAACCCATTGCTTGATCTCATCGAAAACCAACAAGCAGAGGAAGAAGATGCAGAGCCTCTTCCCCACTCTCTCAAGCTAAGGACACGCATCTATCAGAAAATTCCAATCAACGACGAACCATTGCTGGAAACCCCGGAAAATGATACGACAATTTCCACCAATGGCGACGCAACCACCGATCCGCTGGGAGACAAAGCTGGCGAGGACCCCAGCAACGGTGAGAACTCCAATGAGCCCTCCTGCACAATCTGCTATCTTGCCATCGAAGACGGTGATCGTGTGGGGGCACTCGAGTGCGATCACATGTTCCATGTGGATTGCCTCAAGGTTTGGTTGACACGAAGGAACGTTTGTCCCCTCTGTCTGTGCGAAGATATAGCTACTCCCCAGTACAATGAATCACCCGAGAGCCCGGGTGCACCAGGAGACGAAACTGTAGAAAATGAATCGAACACTCCAGCAGCAACAGCAACAACAACCGACGAGGGAAACGATAGACCGGGGGAGAGCGCAGACTAAGATGTGTCTGTTGACTGGATCAGATCCCGTTGCCCTTTTCAGAGGAATCCGTTCATCCATTGCTTCCATGCATGACCCGCGTTGCGTCGGAGAGGTCGGCACGATGCAAAGACATCGACACATAATGATGCAAAAACTACGGGCGTCGTTGACGAATGCTTGAAGATTGGCAGGGAACGTTGCGTCGGTGCGGCTAGGCAGTCCAGGATCCACAGTTGCAAATGGCATGCAAGCTGTACACTATCACACTTACTTGAAATTTTGTTGCCAACTACCTTCTAGATATTGTTTATTAGTACCTGCATCATTCCAGCATTCTATATGTAAGGTTACGACACTGGTGGGATCTGTGGGATGCCAAATTCTAAAGATGAACTGGCAGTTTGTCATTGTTCGTGGTTTTGGGTAGAGAGGTGTGCACTCATATGAGGTCAGCGAGTCTATTGGTTGAATGGGAGTGGAAGCACGACGAGCCATCTTAATGGAATGGAATCGATGCGTCTTTGAGTTGAGAGTATTAATAGAAATAATGTGTGACACAATAGCACCCCAAATGACATCAACGACTTCCACATGCAACCCTTTTCTTCTACTGGCACCCTGTAGCTTCGAGTGGAGTAAAGTGACTGCTTTTTAAAATTTGATTCCTACAGTACCTACTAGCTAGCTTCCCCATTTTTGTCTACCTCAATCTCAGCGTTCTGTGTGTAGCTGAAATGCTGCTAATAAGAGTCCCTCTATTCAGCATTTGTGAAAGGGAAGCATGAAGAAATTATCCATGTCAACCATCTCTTGGAGCGTTCCCTCTGGGTGCTGATAGGGCATGCATTGTTCTGACCCAAATGCATGGCCAAAGATCGCGTTCCGCTGCTTTGAGCCCGTGACAAACTGAAACTTTGTCTTGGTGTCAGGGTCGACAAAAGGTTTGAGAGCAGCCCACAAAGTTCTTGCCATGAAGGGCGCATCGACAAGATAGATGCGATACAGTCTCTCCGGGTAGTGATCACGCAATGTGCATAGCAACTCCTGGATTGTTTTGAATGTTGGGGCATGCTCTGCCTTGTATCGCCCAAAGTCAACACTGACGACCACTTTTTGTTGCACATCCGTGCCTAGATGTAAGCTGCGGGCTTCGGAGCAAGCAATGGAGCGTTCCAGCATATAGTAGTGTGACTGCATGCACCCCACATCATCTGACTGTGAGCCCTTGGGAGAGAGGCGTCCCACTGTATGCCAACAGGCGCGGTTCTCCCTGTCAAAGCCCGCAATGACAAGTTTACCCTTCCCAACGTAGTTTTTCACACGTTGCTTAGATTGCAACGCTTCTGTTGTGGATTCTTGGAAGCACGTTCGCAAAGAATCCAACCGGTGTTCTCGGCGCCACTCGATCGTTGCCTTGAAGTGCTTCATTGCAGCGTCAACGTCTCCCTTGTCAGCTTTCAAGTGACGCGCAGCCATTGCCATGGCAGCACGATCTCTGGACTCCTCAAGACTTTTGGAGGATCGACCGTCGGCAGCACAAGTTTCGGACATCTTGTAGTAAGCGTAGGAGGAACGGGCTGCGGTTTCTTTTTCGGTATCCGACAACTGGTTCACCATTTCCTGAGACAAGCAACGATAAGAGATAAGAGAAGTTAGTTGCATATTTCAAGAGTGCAAGACGAGGATAGATCACCAACGGCAACTACACATACCTTTAGAATCACAGATTCACTTCCAAGCCCCGACGATAAGGAGCTGTCGTCGCTTTCCGTGGCGTCCAGACGTTCCTGCTCGACTTGCTGCTCTTTGTCCCACATCATGCCATTGAGCTGACTTTGGGCAGCACAAACAACCGTCACTTTTTCGTTCTTCTTCGCAAACCAACCGCAACATATATTTTCAACATCAACAACCATGTCCCTTTTTCGGGGAGATTCCATCAAGGTGGTTGGCGGTGAATTGATTAGCTTGATCATCTCTGACTATTACAATTGCAACAATCCAAATTATATGTTCATCATGGCCGCGGAAGAGATGCAGACCTTTCTCACGGAACACGACGGAAGTTACCGATCACGGAGTTTGCCGTTTCCTCTCGAGATATGTACCGTACCGGTCCAAAGTCCTACCACGACCTAACGGTTGCATACCGATGCCACGATCCACGCCACGTGGAAGGTATCTGTAGATGCACACAAGCTCTTAATAATGACGTTGAAATTTAAAATTCGAAGGCCATAAAACCAAAACCACACAATTTCGAAGGGTGGGTGGAGAGAGAGAGAAAGAAGTCTCAAGATGAGTGCATTACCATCATCATCCAGTGGTCCGACAACCACGGCGGTTAACAGTTGCAAAAAGAGCCTTGTGGTAGCATCGGCATTATTGCTGAGTCATCAAGTCGGTGCTGCTACACCGGAAGCACACACACATAAGGCAATTTTCGGTGTCGGTACCAGCAATCATGGAAATCAAGAGACTCGTCTGTGGGGTCTCCATGTTCCTCGTGGAGGGACGGATGAAGCCCCATCCAAGGGCCACAAGAATGACAGTGAGAATAATATGAAGAAGGAATCCAAAAAGAAAAAGAATCGCAACGATAATAGCAAGAGCAAGAAGCAGAACAAAAAAGACAACAGACGAAAGGAAACAAAAAAGAAAAACCGAGAGGAACAGCAAGAGGAATCCTCCAACGAAGCAGAGGACTCCACCAACAAGGCTTCCACTGCGAGCACATCCATTCCTTCCAATCCCATGGTAGAAGAAATCTTGGAAAGTGAGGACTACTATGACATTCTGGGTCTCTCACGTGGAGAAAACCATGTTGGCAGAATCAAAAAAGCGTATCGACGGCGCGCTGTGCAAACTCATCCTGACAAGACTGGTGGAGACAGGAGAGCTTTTGACAAACTAGCCGAAGCTTACGAGGTCTTGTTGGACGATGACAAACGGGCACTCTACGATCGGTATGGCAAAGCCGGACTGGATCCTACCAATGCTGCTGGACAGTTTGGATCGGGTGGTCCGGAGGATTTGTTTCGTTCCTTCTTTGGACACCCTTCTGCTCGCCAACCATCACAACCACAAGGTCCGGTCAATCGAACCCTGAGATATCAATACGCAGTTACTTTGGAGGAATTGTACAAGGGAGTGACACGCAAAGTCACCGTCGAGGCACCACCGGAACCAACACAACGATTCGGATTCGTCTACCAGGAACCGGATGCTCCCAAAAAGAAACAGGTCGAAGTCAACGTTCCTCGTGGAGCGTTTGCCGGTCAGAGCATTCGACTGTCGGGAGAAATGGACTTTTATTCCGAAGAAGCACCTCCGGGAGATTTGATCTTTCGACTGCAACTGCGGCCTCACAAAATATTTACCCGCAAAGGACACGATTTGGCCATGACCGTCACGATTTCACTGGCAGAAGCCATTGGTGGTTGTACAAGAACTATTCGTCATTTGGATGGTCGAACCATTACCATTGAATCGGCCAAACGGACGTTACACCTTCCAACGCATCTGACGAAGGATGATACAAAGCAAGGACCCACTCTCGACGAAATAGAGCAACAAGATGGAGGCAACTCTAGCGTTCCCGCAACCAACGATGCGGAAATATCAGTACCTACTCAAGTCAATGTGCACATTCAAACCGGCGACGTTCAGGTCCTCCAAGGACAAGGCATGCCGAAAGACCCACAAGGGACTGAGTTTGGAGACCTGTACGTTCAGTACGAAGTAGAAGTGCCCAAAGCAAAAGACTCCATGGAGCACTTGACACCATCGGAACAAAAAGAATTGGCTCGTTTACTGGAGAAACTCGAGGGCAAAACCGTCTCAAGAAAGGGGCCGCTGCTGGGGAAGCAGACCAAGACGACAAACAACAATCGGTACACGTTGGAACCAGCCAAGTTATCTGATTTTGGAAGTGTCGTACCTGAAATTCATGAGGACGAAGAAGATCACCATGAACAGCAACAACAACAACAATTTCCCTTTCATGGCATGGGACAACGACAATTCTTCTTCTCTTCGACTGGACGCAGTCCCTTCTTTGGTCAAGAAACCAATTTTGAAGATGATGAGAATGTTCAGTGTCGACAAATGTAGAGAAGATTCGATTCAACTTCATAGTTGTTGTACTAATAAAAGAATGGGTTGACATTTAATTCTAATACAGGTGCAGCAACATGACCGGTAGCAGTCTTTAGTTTCAGCAACCCCCTTTGAGGGGCAGCCGGCTCCGCCCAAAGCTGAAAACAATGAAGTCAGTGCAGCCTTACAAGAATTGGCGCCCTTTTACCTAGACACCTTCCTCCTTACAATTTTAAAGCTCCACGGTCCTTTATTAGACTACACCAACGAAGGGGAGAGATCTCCAACCAGCTGGCTGGTGAAGGTCCAGTCGTAGCGCGGGTCCCTGAGTAGTACCGGTAGTACGGTAGGTCTTGGAGGGGGGGCTGCTGCTGGTAGGTCCTGGAGTTGGGCTTGGTGTTGGTCCAGGTGTGGGGCGTGATAAGAGGCCTTCACAAGTCAATATTCAGCAGAAAATCTACTTACTCTAATCCCCCTTTGTACTACCTACATAGTAGCTGGTACTATAGTGCCAAGCTGCCTCATGTCATTGAGCGAAGTGCCTGTTGATCTAGCCGTTACCCGGATGCTATGGAGCTACTGAAACAAAGCCAAGTCGTGCGACTGATTCAATCGACCCATTCGACTGTCGACTGAGCCAAGAGTTATCCGAGCCGTTGCCAGAAGCAGAACCGGTCAAAAAGTGGCAAAGCAACACACAAAAAGCCAACACAACAAGACCAAACAAACAAGTTTATTCCGTGGAAGATAGTTCGCAGCAGCTGGCTAGAGTATTGGAGTTTTTAGACTACGCAGTATATTATCTTGCAGCAGTCTCTTTGCCTTCTTCAGGCTTGTGTAAATTTGGGAGTGTGAGGTATCCAGTTGACGGAAGATTTTTTTGCATCAAATAATCGACTATTACAATTCGTGGATACGATTCGATTCCAACCCCCAAGACGGTCGTATTGCCATCCGATAGAAAAGGCGAAAGCGACATTGACTGACTGGTTGATATGAACAAGGATCAACGGTATAGTCGGATCGAACGAGACGACTACCATGATTCCGAAGTGACGGGTGTGGAATCCCAACCGTACCGCGATGACCCTCGCCATGACAACAACAACAATCATCATCACCCTCGAGTCCATCGCAATCCATTGCAGCGATCTCAGAGTTCACCACTGAGTACTACACCTGACAATAGTGAACGCGACGATGATTCCACTATGTTGCAGCAACGAAACAGTGGTGACCAAAGCAGCAATAGTAATAATATCAACGGAAGCAACCACAGCTACAAATTGCGCATGAGACGGGCAGTCAGTCCAGCGGGTACTCGATCCACCGCTACCGCTAGCAGTACGAACCGAAGACTCCCCATGTCCAGAGAAGGAAGTTCAGAAAATATTGTCATTTTAGAAGGATTGGGTCACATCGATCGTCATCGACATAGCCATGGGCGCAATGGGGGATCCATCACGTCTCCTCCACGGCCTGCGAGACTCAACTATGACAAACACAAAAACAGTGATGATGGGTCCTTGTCTCTTGGAGCAGGCGGAGGTGGCGGAGAAGACGACGAAATGGAGGATCACGCATCAGCCCATGCCTCTGGAAGTAGAGAGGACGACGGTGACGCTTTATTTTGTGCGTCGCATGGATCCTCCTTTGACCTTCTAGATGATGAAGACGAAATTGCCGTTCAACGCTATCACCGGGATTATTTTGGTGCATCTCCGTATCAAGATGAACTAGGAACAAGTGGTTGGGATCCAGACGACGATATGATGATGATGACTCCCAACATGTATCATCCTCGTACAGAATCTACTGGAAGCAACAGCAAAGATCCATGGATACGCATGGTACAACAGCAACAACAACAATCACCCACCAACGGAATCATGCCATTTTCAGCCATCCATTCCATCTCAGATCTGTTGCTATACCTACGAGGTGTTCGACGTCAAGCGCGGCAAAGAAGAGCCCAGCGATTGCTTACCATGCCCTCGGAACAATGGTTCGAACGATTGCAGTTCTGTTTCATGACTTATTGCTGGGATGCTACAGATGTTGGATTGCTCGTCGTGGCCATCTTGTTGGTCGTATGGTTCTTTGGACTCTTGTGGTTGGCCAAAATCGATGCCCGAGCAACAGCCGGCACACCAGAAACCCAAAACACCGGTGCCGAATACAATGCGAATGCCGAGTTCGATACGGATTACGAAACTAAGGGTGGATCCTGGCGGCTCATGTTCCAGTGGTGGTGGTGGGGATTGGGATTTGTTCTGCTCGTGCGAATCCTGGGGCCCTTTGCCGTGCAAAATGTTAACAATCGACGAAGAGAAATTCGACGACAGCGATTCATGTCTGGAAACATGCATGATCAACAACGAAGGATGCATCAGCAGCAACTTCCGACCATTATTGGATCGCCCAGCAACGGCGATGCAAACACAGGGCAGCAGGAGTCATCGTCGGGGGTCGAAATCACCGAAACAAATGGAGGATCGATGGTGTAGACGGTGAATGACATTTTCGAGGACTCAATCATGGATTGATTTGTTCCCCTTTGACGAGACAAGAGATTTTGACAACACGCGGCACTTTTAGAACATGCAATGCCACACAGAGCATTGCTATGGAAGATATATTTTATAGACAGCATACAGTAACCCTTCTGCGTCTGGTGATTGTGTTGTGGATCGTGGCCGTCGGTACAAGCCTAGTAAGAGGTCGGAATACAACTACTCCTGCTTGCCGATTCGACTCGTTGTTTGCGCAAAGGATCTTCCTCCAACACACATTTGTGTACCCTTTGGCAGCACGGAGCACGACCAATCGATCTCGTCTTACCGTTTTGATCTTCGTACCCGTGGCAGCTGTGGCTTTCGTGTAATCGGAACATTGGTTGAGTCGTACTGCCAATCCCGGTATCGGGGATGTTTTTGGGTGTTGGTGCCGAGAGAAAAGCCCATAGTTTGACAAAGAGGAGTGGTTTGTTTGACCTTTACTAATACAATCTCACATGCTTTAATCGAGAAAACATCATGCCGCTCGAAGGATTTAAGAAGCGCAGAGTTGCATCCAAGCAGGGACTTGAAGATGCCGCAGAACTTGCAAGGCATGCCATGAGAGCCATGGAAGAAAATGACAGTGCCTTGGCAGCTCAACGAATCGAGGAAGCCTTGAAACTGCTTGGCCGTATCAGCTATATGTAGTTGAAGCCTTTATGATGATAGAGCCCATTCCCGTGCCCACACGAGGAACTTACCTTTTGTCAAGCCGTCGACTACGAGATCAAGGCAGCCATTTCCGCGGCAGAGGCGTAGTTGAAACTGCCAGATCACATCCAATGCTTCATTTATTCTTGAGCACTTATATTGTAACCAACATAGTAGACTTTCGATATTCACCAACCCAGCTGTAGTGTACCTACGATAGCCTTCCTGTGTCGCTCATTGCACATTGGGAGATCCCAACATCGTGATATCGTGATCAACAGCCCCACGGTGCGGTGGTAACGGTACCGGTACAGGCCCAGGTTTTCGCAGCCTCATTGGCTAATATCCATTTGAACCTTCCTCGTGTCGTCGTGTCGTGCTTCTTCTTCTTCTTTGACCCACACAGAATTCTGTTGGGCTGTTGGGTCGACCTCATGACATTGTTTCTTCTGTTGATTGAGTCCAGTAGTTTCGTTAATACCGCACCATGAACAACGACTTGTTTGAAGGCGCCCTCGATGTGGTGTATAAGAGTGGGTTTGTGACACGACTCTCTTGCAAAGAGTCTTCAAAGTCAACAACGACTACTGGTACCACGTTGGTCTGCTGCAGCTCTGCCAGTGCCCGTGACGTCAAGGCACTCCTGCGTGAAAGACTGAATCTGGGGGATGAGGAGCTTCGACTCCGTGACAAGCACGGCAAATATATCTTTGGCAACTTTGAAAAATCTCCTCCTTGTGCTGATACCATGCTGAGCTGGGAAGCAGTGACGGTGGATCCTCATTTGCTGGGTCTTTGTCAAGTGGTGGGCATGGGCGACGAAGCCGAGCGTGATCGCATGATGGAACGCATGATGACACCTCGGAGAGCTCAGGAATGTCCTGGAAGCCATTCATTGACAGCAACCAACTACGGACATGGAGGCTTGTTCGATGTAGTCTGCGACAAGTGCAACCACAATCTCGAATCGGACGACAATTGGTTTGGCTGCCGTGTCTGCAATTTTGATTTGTGCCGTAACTGTCATCAGAACGACCAAGGAGCGGAACACATTATGATTGGAGCATCCAAAGATCCCTATGATGAAGTTGCTACCATTGCCAAACAGCTGGGAACTCGCTATGCCAAACTGGTCTGTAATCGATGGCTATCTCGAAGACGCCCCAACTCCTTTTGGTTGATTTGGGAGCATACGAACTGGGGATGGGTCCCTCCATCCAACTTTTCCAGGAACAAGAGTATTTTGACAAACCAGGACATTGAGGATCTCAGATTGTCCAGAGACCATCTGTTGGTTGCCCCCGGCGCTCGACTGGTCATCCGACTCAGCGAGGATCTGCGCGGTATGGTTTTGGATGCCAACAATAACAACAACGACGACGACAATCAAGGTGACGAAAGGCTCGCCAAGAAAATTCGCATCGAAGGGCAGCCGACCAGAGAACTTTTGCCAGGAGAAATAGATCAAATCCTTCCAAACGGCGCTACCGCAGAAGAACTGGAGGGATATGCGAAACAGATTTGCTTAACAGAACCAGCGTGGCAGCATATCAAGGATCAGTTAGAGTTGAAGTTGGCCGCCAGTGGCTGGAATTGGGACAGGACTGCTCTCTTTCACGATGTCATGCTCGAGCTGGAATCTATGGAAATTGGCAAGGTAGCTTACAGATTGACTGCAGTGGCGGGAAGGAACTGGACTCAAGTACGGCTGTGATGATGGTTTTTCTTTTTGATGCGTGGAATGATGAACAAAACACAACAAGTCACTGAAGAAGAAAAGCACACAACAAGAAACTCCATTGGTTGAACGTGACTGCCACAGGTATTGCGCAAAAGGAAGCAAGAGACTCATAATGCAGACGCAGAAGAATATTTAATGCTGATCCTCCCGATGGATGGATCTATCAAGCCACTGTACCGGTACGATATGCAAGATAGAGATCAAGAAACCCTCAAATATAAAATGCTAAAGTTGTAGTCTTTTGCTTGTCAATTTTTGGATCTGATGGTACCGGTAGGCACGGCACTGGGCCACGTGGAGTTTGCGCAAATGTTGGGGCGCCACCCTACCACGACTGTTTGCTTGCGCACTACCAGCTCGCTAGAAAGCAAACAATCGTAAGAACACTCATTTATGTCTCCATGGATCCCACAAAGTCAGGCCCTCTGGCCCCTGTTGGCCCTCAATTTGTGGCCCTTCTCCCACGGAACCTAATCCCATTTTCCACCTCTTCTTAGCCTAAACCTGGCCCTGTTGGTTTCAGTACATGTACGTGACTTGACTTCCCTACATGTAGCCAAGGTTCTTTTACAACACCTTGCTTCTGCCGCTGCCACCAAAACTCAATTCTCATACTCTCAAATTTTGTTCTTCATGCGGACACCCATCTCAATTGCCCTTGTGAAAGCTACCCATTTATGTCTCTGGCTGTGGATCGCGCAAAGCCAAGCCCTTTGGCCCTGTACTGGTCCTCAATTTATTGCCTCTGAACCCACGGAACCTACCTGAATTTCGACTCTTCTTTGCTTTTAAGCCTGGCCCTTGCTGGATAATCACCTTCTCTACTGTCACCCCCCCCGCCCCCGTTAATCCACAAGCCAGCAGAGACGTTTCATACATTTAGTACGGGCTAGCTAGAGCCTACTGGCCAGCCACTAGGTTTCAAATGACACCCCACCAGGCAGAGAGGGAGTACTAATATTAGTAACTTGAAATCGAGACGAACACCAATGGGGGTACAGGTGGTAGCTAGAAGCTAGCAGGCTTTGGGTGGCTAGAGCAACAAGATCAATAGCAACCAGAATGGATGGTACCGGTAGACTGCCTTTGCGTCAGCTGCTTGACACTCCCCGGGCAGCAAAAATGATCAAATCCAAAGAGAGAAGGAGCAATGTGGCTGAAGCAAGAAAAGGGTCCCAGTCAGCTAGCCTGGTTGCTTGTTGCGGTGCGGTATAGTCAGGGAGGATTGACTCAAGCGGCCAGGCAACAGAACAAGAGAGTCTTGATTGCTTGGTTACAGTTGCTCGATACTCTTGCTTGAATTGTTTGTAAGGTCGCGTGACTGCCTCAGTTGTTGCTGACTAGATGGCTTTGTAGAGGTGGCATGGTTGCGAGACTAAATCAAACCAGCATCCCACTTTGGCTCACTCGCCTGACTCATCATCAGCACAAGATCTTCCTTCCCCTGCTCTCATCACCTTGCAACCTACTCTGGATTAATCAATACGTACTCGGGTAACCATCCTGCATGTCCATCTGGCATCTCGCAGCTTGCAGCAGTTTAAAGCCGCGGCAGCCAGTGCCGCTACCGGTAGAATAGCTACGACTGGTACCAGTCCATACCGGTACTAGCTAGCTAGCTACTCAGTAGTAGACTGCATGCTGCTGCGAGAAGCTTGGATAGAAGTCATCCGTGACACCTTCCGTGACTGCGATGCTCCGCACTTGCATCCTTTTTTGTCCGACCTCTTCCGCACCCACGCCATTTTCGAGGAAGTTCTGTCCACTGTCCGTCCAGCTCCATCCACAAGTTCTCATCGCTCCTGGGTTGTCTGAGTGAGGGACAACCTTGGCGCTTCCGGCGCTCTTTCGTAGGTTTCTAGCGGAACATGCAGGGGAACATGCCAGCCTATGAAATTGCAAAGCTGGCTCGTCGATTCTGAACGAGCCATTTCGCGATGCGTTGGTCTTGGGCTGCGGCAGAACTTTGTGTATTCCAGCCTTCACATTCTCATCAAGACCTGCACTTGCGGCGATTAAAAAGTGTTCTTGCAATTTGCAATGCATTCATAGTTTGTGGCAATTGGGCTCGAGAGACCTTTGGGTATTTCGGTATTCCATTCTCTCTCCTTTCGATCGCCACCTCCTTGTTGTGTTCATAAAATCAGCCTTGGTGCATCCTGCTACCCTTTATCTTCTTGTTATTAACATCAGAAGCCCAAGATGACAGTCGCAGCGATTCAAGCTCCCATGGTGTCGCTCGCTTCCACAGCTTGCAACAATGAGCCTCTCTTCTCCCTGTTCTCGGGAGACTCCAGCGAAGTGTCCATCACCATCTCTAACAGTGCTGCATCCTTTGACTGGTCTGACTTTCCCGTCGTCTACCAGTACAACGAAGACATGCCAGTCCCATCTGGAGGTTGCACCGAGTCTCCACAGCTCTACTACTCTTCCCCGCAGTGCTCTACCACCAAGAAGAACATCTGCTCCAAGTTATCTCCCATGACAACAGCACCTACAATGCCGTGGGAACTCGAAAGGGAATTGGACGACACCAACTCTCTCTCCATGTCTTCGGATGATGAGACTGTTGCCACCGACTCCCAAGTTGAAGACTCCTCTGCGAACCGACGCGCCGACAGAGAGTCTGTGATCAAGTTTTCTCCCTTTGTGGAGATTCGATCGCACGCTGTTGTTTTGGGAGATCATCCCTGTTGCAACAGCCTTGCTTTGGAGCTCGCGTGGGAACACCAAGAGGTTCAAGTCCTTGACTTTGATCTCTACGAGAGCAGCCGTCAAAGCCAAAGACGGAAACTTAGGTCTCTTCGCTTATCCTACTGGGAACGGCGAATGTTGTTGGAGCGGTCCACTGGACTCTCGGAACATGAACTTTTGTTGCAAGAACAGCGAGCTTGGGGAGAGCAGCTGGACAGAGAAGCAGCCAACAGGGACAAGGCTCCTTCCATGCCTTGCAGCTCTTCCATTTTGAAAAAGGTCTCTTCGACCAAGACTTTGTCGTCCATGGACATTTAGTAAAGCACACGGGCTCAAGGATACGACGCTACCCTCATTCGTACAGCCTGATGTGTTAGTTTTCTGAACAATACCATTTCCTTGCTAAGGCACGCGCTACAATCATCACACTTCCCTGTACCAAGGTACTAGATTTTTGAACAACTTTTACTCTACACTAAAACACTGCTAATTTATAGGCATTTTCAACATTGTTACATCTTTTCTAGCTAGTATAAGTAGCGAGTAGCAACCAAAGTTGATACGAGTATCATAAGACTGCAACGGATACCCCACGGTACCTAGCCGGAGCTAGGTCAAATCATGGCGCTATCCTCTTATCTTCCTACTAGTATCTAGCTAGCCTAGCTAGGAAGACACCAAGATCCGAGGCCAAGAAACTTGACGGACATGGCAACCCTCTAGTTTCTCGCAGCCAGCTTGACGTACTGGGGTGTATCTATAGTAGACTTACGTAATTTTGCAAGATCTTGTCTTTGGAAGGGACACAAGCTGTACGCAGATGCCTTTCTTGCTTCCTCAAGCCCATCGTCACAGCTATTGCGTCGTAGGCTGAATCATCGGCATCTGGCTAGAGCATCTTTCCTTCTTGAAGCTTGAAGATGATGGACGAGAAAAAGCGACGAGGACATCTCTGGATTGCCACGCAGCCCAAATTCAACCTCCACGCGGTTTGGAGTGGGAGCTGGCATTCACGGGTTGCTTTCAAATTGCAATGAGTGACTCAGTCGGACGCCAGCCACTGGTCCGACAACCCGGGATTGATGCGAAGGCCGACCTCAATTGGGAAAGCGAACTTCTTGACGGCTCTCCAATACGATCGCCATCATCATCAGAACATCAGAACGCTAACTCAGGCAATAGTCGGTGGGTGCATCATGACGCGATGCAATCATTGCGTTTCGGTAGATTGGCAAGTAGGCCGAAGTTGCTGCATGTGCATACAAGTAGTCTAGCTAGGTGGTTGAACTTGTTGCTGGCTTTGGGTTTGGTAGACGTCAGGTTGCCGATCTTCACGTGCCTTTCCACTGAAGGTTGAAGTACCTTTCCACGCCAAGCGATGCAGAGAAATGAAATGTAGTCCCGGCTCACCGGCACCCCCGGTACATTGTCCTCCTAAGTATAGCTAGCTACCGGTATGGCTCTGGCCAGCCATGGCAAAGCTTGCAGACTGGTCGACGATTACGTAGCCAACCAAGCACTCCTGCCACCAGTCCTCGGTCCTAGCTGGTACCTCGGTAGTATCTGGACAAGTCAACCGTTCCGGTATCGTATAAGAGAGACTGACTGGTAATCTGAAGAGAAATCTTTGGACTGCGCTTCATTTGATGGGATTTGGCACACTGTTCAGTTGCTCTGGATTGGATTGATGCATGTTGAGCACACAATCAAGGTACCGGTAGGCGGTCGATCTCCGCTTGCGATGCTATGATAGAGCGCTGACTGCGTGTCTCGTAATGCCCACATCAATGGATCGCTTCACCAACTATCTTGTTTGGTGATATAGGGTGCCTGGAACCCCCTAACCCCGATTCCAATAGTTTGTTTCTGTGGGTGGTACACACGGTATAGATAATCATCGTCACCTTTCAAACGCTTTGTGTTTCTCACTCCAATGAAACAAGGACTGAGCAAAGAAGTCTGGATCTTTCAAAGCATGGTTCCAAAACTCTTCATTGAGCCGTTCTGTAGTCTTGTCCCAGAACTTGTTGGCTCTCCATAGCACAAAGGTTGGCCCACCAGCAGTCACAACGCCATAGGCTGCGAGCGACGATTCGTATCCATTCGTTGGTGAGATTCGATTCTGCTTTCCAATATCATATACCTTATCGGTGCGGTCCGTCCGTATCCACCACTTACCTGCCAACAGTGGAACCAAGTGAGGTTGTGTGGTCAACAGACTAACCTGCGTGGAAGTCGTATAGCCTAGATATCCCCAAATCCCGGCAGCCGGAGCCGAAACGGTTGTAGTTTGCGACGCGGCATAGGCTGCAATTGTCGCTGTACTTTTCAATTGACCTGCTGCCGTCAAGGAGAGCAGGGAACTTGCTTGTAGTGTCATCCATTGACCTGTTTTGCACCATAGACTAACGCACTCGCAGTTGCTTCTAAAAATGTGGTAGGGTGGAAGGAGCTGTGGGTTCTCCATCAAGAAATAGCACCGTGCCAAAACCTTGCCGGGAGGATCCGAAGGTACGCAAGTACACGTTCCTGATCTCCATAAACTAGTCTTCCAAACACTGGCACGGTAAAGCACCTTGTGCCATTTTGGGTCCTTGGAGGTAGAATTGTACACACGCAGCACACCGTGTGGATGCAGGGCGAAGGGTACCTTGTCTTCCAACTGCAGCCCTGTAATCATGTCAATGCTTTGTGTTCGTTGGATTCTTGTGCTGTCATTTGGGGAGTGTTTCTTGGTAGTGCTGGACGGTGCCCTCAAAATACAGGAGAAATCGGCAATTTGCAACTCATATCCATCTCCGGCTTCATCGCGAGTGCAGTCCATGACAATGCCATGATGCTGGAAGACTCCTGGAATTCCTGCAAAACTGCGCCATTGATACACGTGATCTCCAATTTCCAGTGGTAAATCTGGTAGAGTTTCTGGATCAATCAGTGCTTCAGATGTCGCATTATTATTGGCATTGGAGACAGGAATGGAATCCAAGGGGGTCTTTTGGGGTGTGGATTGCTGCAGCGTTTGTTCTCCATCTTCCTCTTGAAGATATCGTTGAATTTCCTCTTCGCAACTCTTTTGAAGAATTCGCTCAATATTAGTGTCATCCTCCTGGTCTACTTCGTCGTCGGAGCTGGAGCAAGAGCTCAGCACATCGGCTTCCTGTTTGGAGTCTTGCTGTCCTTGATCTTCTTGATGGTGGTCATGATCATTCCACGAGTCTCTTCTCATTTCGTGCAGACTCTCATATCTTGAGGTCGTCGTTGTCATGGCGTCATCGTCAGATTCGGCAAAGCTCGCCGCGGCTGTCATTGTTCGACTCATTCCTGTCACTCAGAAGAACAACTAGCTAGTTGTCTTTTTCCTGATGCCACATGCTGATCTTGACAGCGCCTACTTAACAAGGCTCTCTCTATCTATCTCCCTCCCTTTTTCTATTAATAGTTGAAGGCGTGTACAGCAACTGTTTGTCCCAAAGGTTTGCTTGATGTGGAATGATGGATGTCAGTATGATAAATTTTAAAAGGGGGTCGGCGGTCGAATTGTTTTCGATCGGCATCAAAGGATCCGTTGCGGCGGTCAACACGACTCAAACGCCATGGTCGCCGTTAGTGTATTCACCGGCTTATTGCATGCTGACCCTCATTTCTTTTGACACCACACTCCACTTTCCACTTGCTTCATGTTTGTGGCAATGGTGCTTTCGACACACCGATAAAGCACTTCTTTGTCCGCAGTAAATGGCTGCATGCATGACTACAGCACCGTAGTAGAGATCTGAGCCTTTGTGGACTCTTTTACATTGAGTTTGTCGATGATTGGATTCGTCATCATACCAAGAAAACTAATCCATTCTCACAACAATCCATTATGATTGAGGTTCTATTATGCATACTCGGTTTCTTGGTTTCCCCTGCCTACTTGTGTCTCATGGTGGTGGCATTACTTTCAACATTGGTGCCATTTCTCAAAGACTTGGCATCTCATGGCAAAACATTGACAAAACTATCCAGCCACGCGTCTACAACAGCAAATGATGAAAGGAGCCCACACGCAGCTGGTAACAGCTCTGGTGATAGTGGAGAAAGTTTCCAAAATTCAACTTGGATACAGCAGTTCTCTCAAGGCAAGATGTTCCAGATACACAAACGATGCTTCCTCCACTTTTACGTGGCAGGACTGCTGTCGTTGGCTTGGTTTGCCTTGTCAACTGCGGCTACTCACAAGACATCATCATGCCACAATCAGGGAATGTTGCTGCTCGCTCTCCATTTGGCACGTCGATGCTATGAGTGCCTCCGCATTCATCAGTATTCGGAAAATAGTTTCATGCATCTTGCTGGATATGTATGTGGTGTCTTTCACTATCTGTTCCTGCCCTGGATGGTCTTTGATGACAAAATCACTTGCAACGACAACCATCTGGACGATGACGAACCAAACAAGATGGCTTTATCAGAATACGTGTGGAATATATCGATAGTACTGCTCTGTCTTTGGGGTCAATGGGAACAGTATCAGCATCACGCACTTTTGTCATTATTGCGACAAAAACAACTATCCAATAATAAACACGAGGAGGAGGAGATTGTGGGGAGCCAACCAAAGGCGGTGCACAAGATTCCACGGGGGCGACTCTTTCAGTATATATCATGTCCTCATTACTTGGCGGAAATCGTGATTTATACCGCATTTTATTTGCTGTTAAGACAACAACATGACTCTTGCCAAGAACCATGCTTGTCTGGCCTGCTCCCCAGTATGATTGCTGCGAGGGAGGAAGTCATGTCTGTACTCTTGACCATGAGGCAATGGCGACGTTTGGTTCTAGTGCTATGGGTGTCCAGCAACCTCACGGTCACCGGTATTCGGTGTCACAATTGGTACCTACAAGCATTCCCAACCTATCCGTCTTTGCACAGAAAGGCCATTTTCCCTTTCATACTATAGATCTAGATGATTTCAACATAGTTGTTGGACCCGATTTCATCATAGCTTTTGGAACCGATTTCATCATTATTCATGCCGGCTCCAGTTGGGATTGAATCTTTCATTTTACGATGTACATGTAGTTGCTCGTCGAAAGAGGCCATCACTTGAAATTGCGAACTTTCTCTACTAGCTACGGCAACATCGCTATTTTCTACTTTTGGCTCCCGCTATAGCCAAGCTTGATTGTCGCCGCGTTTGGCATTCCAGCGCGTCAACCTTCACCCCATTGCGATCAACGAGAAATAGATGAAATGTTGTCATGCACGTAGCACTCCCAAATAAATTGAACGATTGCAACCAAAAGAAAACTGAAGCCGTCAAAAGAAAAAGGCAAATAAAGCGATAATCATCTTCTAGTAGTTTCCTTTCACGCTAAAATTCACATTGCAAAATAGTCTCATTTGTTGAATTGGGAAAGGCTTCAGCAGATTGTGTCCTCAAAGCGGGCCTTCTCGTGTGTTTCGTTCTATCATCGCTGTTTTTCATATTCATAGACTGATGTGATTCGATTCATTCATTCCCCTCGACACAAAACACAAAAACATACCTGTGCATCTGTTGTTTTGTGCACTGCAAGAGTCTACGATCCATCACTGTTCTTAGCCAGCTCTTCTCTCAAGTTCTTGGTGAAATCGTCATCCATGGCGTCGTCCCAGTTGTCTTGCCACTGTTGAACGTCCTCAGCTTCTTCCTCATCAGCTGCCCAGTGTGCCTTTTCAAACTCCTCAAACTCGTCGTCTTCTTCAATCGCCTCCATCAACGACTTGGCATCCTTTTCTTTGCTTTCCTCCGCGGAAGCGTCCTTCTTGGCGGCGTCTGTGGCTGTCATGGTGATGATGGTCGATTGATTGATGATTGTTGTCGCTGTCGTCTTCGGTTTGTACGGTGTAATAGGTTGCCGTTTTGGTGTGGATTTCGGGGAGCGAGCGTCAAAGATCCACGCCGACCTCCAACGAAACCTCTCAAGATTGCAGATTAGGGAAGAGGATAGCCTTCAAACCAGTTTTAAAAGCAGGCTTGCTGGCTTTTATACGTGGGTGTTTGGACTGCTCTTTTTTATCCCTTCTCCATGGCGAATCCATGCTATGGATCGTATCTTTTGCACATCGAAATAACAGATCTGTTCCAATCCATAGAACATTCCAAAATTCTTACTTCACGATGGACTCGGATGATGGCAAAACGACGAAGAGCAGCTGCAATCGGTTCAGCAACGTGAAGGACGCTGCCAAGCAACGGGTTAATGCTGTCCATGCCTCCTTGTTCGGGAGTAAAGAGGGAAATGGAGATCTGGCGACGGTGGTGGTGGTAGGAGGAGGCTATGGTGGCGTCCGTGTGGCCAAGGATCTCGATACAGCCAGCAGCAGCAGCAAAGACTTTCAAGTCGTTCTCATTGACCGAAAGAACTATTTCCTCAACAATATAGCCGGTGTCCCGGCGGCCGTGCAAAAAGGCTACGCCGACAGCATGTGCATTCCATACGACAAACTATTCTCCGAACGCGGCAACAGCACTTTTTTGCAAGCAGAAGTGAGCGAAATTAGAAAGGACAGTGTATTGGTACAAGGACACGAGGAACCCTTGTACTTTGACTATTGCGTGATTGCCACGGGAAGCAGCTATTCCTTCCCCTTCAAGATTGCCGACACATTGCAGCAAGATGCCGTGGAGCGATTTGGAAAAATACCCGATCTGATTGCCCAAGCAGATCACATTGTCGTGGCAGGAGGTGGAGCCGTTGGATGCGAAATGGCGGGGGAGATCAAAACGTGCTTTCCTGGGGAGAACAAGCGTGTCACGCTGGTGCACAGTCGAGAGGCTCTCCTCCCGGGTGATGTAAAAGATGAACTTCGCGACAAGACTCTCAAGGCACTCCAACAGCTGGGGGTCCATGTGATTTTGGGGGAGCGATTGGTCGATGGTCTTGACACCAACAATTCACCGGAGGATACTACAAGTACTACCGACGAAAACGTTCAAAATCAAAGTTTTCTCAGTGGCAAGCGCCGCAAGCTCCAAACAAACCAAGGCACCGAGCTGGAGGCCGACTTGGTTTTCTTGTGCTGGGGAGCTGCCGTCAATTCGGCCAGCTTGCGAGCTCATTTTGGCAGTGAGCTCATTGACAAAGGGCCGAACAGGGATCGCATCTCGGTGGATCCAAAGACATTACTTATCGGAAACACAGACAACATCTTCGCCATAGGAGACGTCGCAGCGCTCGAATCCAAAATGGCATGTTATGCTGGAGAACAAGGCTCCTATGTGGCCAAGAAACTGATTGCCACTATTGTTGCCAACAAAAAATTTCAGAATGCTGGCGATGTCGAACCCTACCGGTACTGGGGACACCCGTACCCTGCCATGATGGTTCCGCTCGGAGGAAAACTGGGCTACATGCAAACGCCTTGTGCCAAGGGAAACATTCTGGGCTCTCCCTTTGCCGCCATGGGTAAAAACCATCTCATCAAGAGCTGGGCTCTCACGGTTCGCCCTGCATGTTCCTTCAAATGCCCCTTCACGTTTATCAGCAACAATCAAACCAACCAACAGTCCGACAAAGAAGATTTGGCCAAGGCACTCGGATTGTCTCACGAGGATGCCCTTCTGGCGATTGAGCGTGGCGCTTTTCCTATTACCCACGATGCCGCCACTGATGGCCGAACTAGCACCTGATAAGGCGAACTTTCACTACTTGCTAGCTTATTTCATGTGTGACAAAGGATTTATAGCTACTATACTACAGCACTATAACAGTTACATGTCTTTGTTCTCTCCAAGTACATGCCTGATTGCGGATGTAACATACTTATTACTTGCACCAGACATTCTCAGTCTATTTCTGGACTATGCCATTGTACCAGCCACGATGGCCCCATTTTGGACCCGGACTTGATGTCATCATGAATGCGATGGTGGCGGGTTGTGACACTACACAGCTATGGCTCTCTCGTGGACAAAGTTCGAGCTCACCAAGCACCCCGAAGTAGCACAGAAGATTCTGCAAGAGGCCAATGACATTTTGTGGCAGTATCAATGGTGACAGTGACGGAGGAAAGATCCTTCGCAGCGTGTTCGTTCCGATTTGGTGTGTTGCTTGCTGACTGAGGCGTCATGCTTTGCCGCTGCTGTCCAAAGCATCCTTTTCAATTACATGTAACTACGGTGAGTGCCCTCTTCTGATTATTATTTATTCCCCCCTTGCGTTTTGTTGTTCGTAATGATTGGATAGTAGAATTGAACTTGACGCAACGACGCCGCAGCTTTGCCCGCCGCATTGTTGTTAGAATTGTCCACCAGTGGTTGCCACAAATGTCCCGTTCCCGACTCGAATTGGCAGAGGCACAATTCCAGTTGTTGCAACGTTTTGGACTGTAGACAGCCCTCCACGAGAGGAGTTGTATTTTGGGCGTCAAATCGCACATGCCCCAAGTAGAGTCGTTGCAGAGTTTTCAACCGCGAAGCTTTGAGAATGTCTTTGACCGCCCGTGTCGCCATTGGTTTGGCATCTTGGAGACGCCGTTCTCCCGACTCGGGATCAAATGTTATTTTGAGTGTGTGTAAGGGGCCATAGACCAGTTTGGGGAGAATGGCCGTCAGGCAGTTGTCTGGCATGTCTTTGAGTAATAGTACATGAATGGATCTATCCCAGGAAATGTCAAAGGCGAGTTGTTGCAATTCCTGTGGGGATGCCGCTGCAAGTAGCTTGCCATCCATGGCCAAATGCCGCCGACTGGAAGTGGATGACTCCAAGGGACTGAGGCTGTCACAGAGCAAGTCGACCTGACTCGAATTGGCGGCCAGTATCTTGATGGTAGCACCATAGCGGCAATTGTTGTGGCTGACCTCTTCAATCCGTTCCATCAGGTCCATCTCCCGATCCGACAGTTCCTTGACGAGGAAAATGATAATTTCGTGCAGAGACTCAGAAGTCTCGATCCAATCTAATAGATCCTCCACCGTGTCATCACTCACTTGATTTGTGGGAGAGACCATTTCCAGTTTGCGCACACTGGTCTCGTACAAGGGATGAGTCGTCAGTAGGTTGACCAAAGTGTTGAAACCGAGAGCATCCCCCATGTACCATGTCACTATCTGAATTGGTTCCGAAGGGACTACTTCTATGGCGGACGATTCCTCCGTGTGCTGTATCTCATCAGCCACGGCAGCCGTGGGAGTGGAAGTTGGAGCCATGGCCAGTTTCTAATTGTGGTGATGGCACCTCAACTTAACCTAGATGCTTCAAGATCATTCATGCAGTCAAACAGTCCACAAAGAGGTTCGACATGGAGACAGCTACTAGTACCATGCAGCTACTATAACTTGGGCAGCATTAGCATCAATGCATAGGGAGATCTCAACAGCTTTTCTAAAAGGTCGTGATCAGCAACAACAATTTTGTGGTCTCGAAATCGACATTTTTGCTGGAGATGTTTCCCTCAACCCTACTGCATCATTAGTTTGGTGGGAAACGGCGGCAGCAAAACGAAGACTGAAGCCTCATTCATCTTTCGATGGAGTTGCGATGTTACTGAAAGCAGAGCTTCCGATTGTATTCTGCATGCTAGCTAGTTACTAAGTGTCAGGCATCAAACTGAACAGATATCGGGATCTCTGTTGTAGAAAGAACGGCATATTGTGGATCGTGGTGGAGCTTCCTGTGAAAGTACCGTAGATTCCGGTCTAGAAGATGGGAGGGAGCGACTCTGATGATGACAGCAGGTCAGACTCCGGCAGCGAGAGCCAAGGTTCGTCGAGGCGCAGTGGTAGCTCCTCATCAAGGCGAGATGATGACATGTCAGCAAGTGGACGGTCGTCTCTTTATGGGAGCGTAATGAGTGGCTCGCACAGATCAGGCTCTTCTCGATCGGGCTCCAGGTCTGGCTCCCGGTCAGGTTCAAAATCTGGGTCTTCCTCGCATAGATCTGGCTCGCCAAGATCAGTAATGTCTGGTGGAAGTGTTTCCAGTGCTGGTAGCAGGGGGTCGGCGAGCGGTGGGTCAGGTTCAAGGGGCTCTCGTTCTTCTGGATCGAGGTCCAGAAGTCCTGCCTCGCGTGGGTCAAACGATTCTCAACGCAGTGGTAGTGTAGGTTCTAGGGGCTCCAGAAGTAGAAGTGGAAGTCCTTCCTCTCGTGGATCAAACAATTCACAGCAAAGTGGCAGTGCAGGTTCAGGTAGTGCAGGTTCAGGCTCCAGGGGCTCTCGGTCTGGCTCTAGGTCTCGCTCCAGAAGCCCTTCCTCTCGCGGGTCGAACAATTCACAAAGAAGTGGCAGTGTAGGTTCAGGTTCAGGGGGGTCTCAGTCTCGCTCCCGCACCCCTTCATCGCATGGATCGAACAAATCACAAAGAAGTGGCAGTGTAGGTTCAGGTTCAAGAGGCTCTCGGTCTCGCTCCCGTAGCCCTTCATCACATGGATCAGACAAGCAATCTCTTGATGGCAGTGACCATTCCAAAGGATCCCGTTCCTCTGGAGCAAGTAGATCTGGGAGCCGACATTCCAAATCCTCCCAAGAGTCCGGTGGTAGCAACCAGTCGGATGACAAGTCCCGTGGCTCAAGCTCTGGTTCATCCAAGAAATCAGGCTCAGGCTCAGGTTCATCCAAGAAATCAGACAAGAGTGGATCCCGATCAGCCTCCAGTCATTCCTCTCGTGGTTCAGACAAAGGATCCCTAGATAAAAGTGAAGGCTCAAGGGGCTCACGCTCATCTCGATCCTCCAAAAAGTCCAGTGGCTCAAGCTCGCGTTCATCCAAGAAATCAGATCGGAGTGGATCCCGATCAGCTTCTGGGTCTAGTAAAAGTGGAAGTGGACATTCAAGATCTTCCAGAGGATCGGGCAGTGGGTCGAAAGGGAGCGACAAGTCAAGTTCCTCGAAAACCAATGAAAGCAAGGTCAAGCAGAAAGTAGAAGGATCGCCTTCTTCGAAGAACAAAGTAGAGGCAAATCAACCTGCAAAACCTGATGCACCTAGCACTGGCAAAGACGGTGGTGCCACAAAAGGTAGAGTGGCATCAATGGGCGAAAGGTTCAGCTTCAAAGAGGCCAAGCCTGCCCGTTTCGGAGACCCGCCTTCCATGAGAGGCGGCGGCAAGAGTGTATCAAGCAAGTCTCGGGGGAGTGATAAATCACACCACCAATCTACAAAGTCTCACACAAGTTCCAAGAGTCGGTCAATGGACAGTCACAGGTCAGGAACGTCCTCGGCCAACAAAACTTTCAAAAGTTCAGAAAACTCGGGCTCCTCGAGGGTAAGACAAGCAGCAGAGAGTTTTGAAAAGTCACCAAAGACTGAGGAGCTCACTGTAAAGAGCCTTGAGAAATCACCTGTTCGTATGTCGGCAAGGGTCAAAGAGGCGGCACAGAGCCTGGAAAACAGCTTCAACTTTAATAGTTCCCTAGTCGACCTTGACTTGAAAGGGGGGAAGCAAGATGAAGACGGATCGAGGGTCACGAAGGGTAGTAGCTCCGTTAGGGAATTGACAGAAAAACTGAGCCGTCGAGGGGGTGACACAGATGGTAGCAAATCTGGGAAAAGTGGGCGGACAGGCAGCGCAAGCAGCAGGTCGAAAAGAGACAAGAAGGGCGACAAGTGGCGCTCCTCGGACTCGAAGTCAACGGCTATCACTACTGAGTCACTTGAAACGATCAACGAGAAGGGCAAGTCCATCATCAGAGGAACCATTGTGGTACAGAATAGCCAAAGCGATGGAGGAGAAGCAAAAATGGAGCTAGTTTCAGAAACACAGTTCATGCCGATCGGTGAAGCTAGCATGTCAGAAATGGACGGTGAGACTGCCGCACTGACTGAAGACCCCCGTACGGTTGTCACTGACGACGTCCGTACAGCAAAGTCGGCAGAAGATGGGCAACCCACAGAAGAGGACTTCTTAGCCGAACTCTTTGCCTTTGCAGAGTCAAACAACGCCCTTGCATTCGATTTTGGCGCAGAGATCGTACCGGTAGGCTCAGCAGTGGGCGGGAGCAGCGGTGGGAAGAGCTCTGCGCATATATCGGAGAAAGATCCGACCGATCCTCGTTCGGCTACGACATCAGGTGATGGGCCCGTTGAATCTTACCCTGGAGACGAACCTGTTGGCACTGCTGATGAGGACGATGGGCCCGTTGAAGCTTATGCAGGAGACGAACTGATGGGTATCTTCAATGCAAATGATGAGTACGACAAAGATACAAAGACGTCGGAGTCACGTTCCCACAAGAGCGTTCCAAACGTTGTCGAATTCAAGAATGGCATTGCTTACACAGTCTCTCAAGACGATGATGGCACGACTATCAAAACGTTTCTGACGTTGGATGAACACGAAATTCCTTTTGACGAAGCAGGTGAAGATGTTGCAAGAAACATTGCCGAGCAGGAGGCGGCAGCCATAGCAGCATTAGTGGCAGCGGAAGCTGCAGCCGCGGCATTGAAACAAGCAACCACACCTGAGGTAGCTTCAACCGCTGCATCGACAAAAGAGCCAGTTGAAGCCGAACAAGAAGCCGAAAAGGAATCAGCAAAAGGTGAAACAGGGCCCGTAAAGGAAGAATCAGCAGAAGGTGAAGCAGGGCCCGTAAAGGGAGAATCAGAAGAAGCGCCAGCTAAAGCAAAAACAGTACCAGCGAAAGCTGCAGGAACGGAGGATCCAGTGGCAGCGGAACCCGCTAAGCATTTGGTGGAAGAAGAAAAGGTGCAGGAAGATGACGTGAGTGAGCAAGCCGAAATAAAGTCCATCTATCACGTTCGTTCGAACGATCGTGAGATGCTTTTGAAAGTTGTTCAAGCATATCACGAACGACTGGCTGCCATGGTGGAAGGACGGCAAGAGCTGTTGACCAAGGACACGTCAAGAAAAGTTGCAGAGACCGTCTCTACAGCTACTAGAGAAGGCAGTGGCAAACTAGATGCCGCAGCACGAACAAAGATTCTCTTGGAAAAGTTGAAGATGGCTTCTCTGGCTCAAAAGGCGGGCGTTGGCGAAGCGCTGATGACGACTCCACTTGGTGAGATGAAGTCCAAAGGAGTTCGGAGTCAAGAGATACTGTCTACAATCCACAAGGTGGACTGGGCAATGTTCCGTGCGAGGAAAATGATGGAGAGGATCAAGACAAGGGCCGAGTCACGAAAGAGAAGCATCCCTGTCGAGTTTGAAGAGTCTCGAGAGGCTCTCACTCGATCGCAGCAGCATTTTTCTGAACTCCGCAAGTCAGTTACGCGACAATCCACAAATGCATTAACGTGAACGATGTCTATGTTTGTATCCCTGGCAATTGAGTTGGTGATGGGCACAGTTGAGTGTGCAGTCGAATAGTGACCTACTGGCACTTGTAGATATTATAATGTACTAGCTACTGTTTTTTTCGGCCCTCTATCCGTTGCCCCAACAGAGAGCACGAAAGGAAGTGCTGAAACTGGATGCACCTTGCCGATGATAACTACAGCAAGCCAAAAAATGACGAATGGGCACGGCTGCACCATATCCAAAGTATTAAACTGCCTTTTTGATTATGAAACATTATAAACTGAAGTGAATTGAATGTGGCGTGCTGCTTCCTTCAGTTGCCATGGTGTAGATTATATTTTTGGCCGACACGCCAATTTTGATTCAATCTTTTATTTTTGAAGATGAACATCCACTCGGTGAAAATCAACGGAATTGTCATTTACTGGTTCTCTGCAGCAGCCTTTTCTTCATCAGGCAGAGGAGTGAATCGGAGAAAGGAAACTGTTGGACGACGACACCAAGAACCGGCCTCTGTCATGAGTGTAACTTCCCATCCTGCTTCGGTGAGTTTGGGCGCCAGTTCCTGCAAGACTGATTGTACAGCAGGATTAAAGACTTCATCGACATGGACTTGCTGGAAATGCGAGGACACCATAAGGGAAACGAAAATCATGGCAATTAGGCCAAAGGATGTAATTAGGTTGATCATGTCAGCCTCTTGGATGGTGGTGTAGGACGTAGCACCCATAAGACACATCAACCACAAAAAGTACATGGGAAGAACCATGCGGACATAGATCCTGGCTTTGGCTTGACGCAATCCCAGTTGGTAGTCCTTGATGCTCGTTGTTAGCAAACTCCAAGTGGCAATGTTCAAAGATGCCAACTCTCGGGGTCGTCCCTCTTCCAACCATGCTTGGGTCTTCCAGATGCCCTTGCCTCGAGAGTTGTGGATGTAGAGATCCACCGAACGATCTTCCACAAGACGAACATTGCTGTAGGCCACGGCGGGGTGATCGTTGCTGCGGTTGTTGGTCTTTCCGAACATCTTGCTTGTAGCTGGCTTGATGTGTTTGTTTTTGCGGTTGCCTCTTTAGTGATCGATCTTCTTTCGCTGTGTTTGTGGTGAAACCACCAACCGACTTGGCGGAGTCTTGGCGGTTATTCACGGATTTTGATTTTTCTAAACATGGAATAAAAAGTTTCATTTTTTAAATTAACCATGTTTGCAAGTATTGTTTCTAGTTTCTTTCATCATATTTTTGATTTTTATCAATGGATTTCAAAACAGTAGGATAAAAGTGTTAAAAACATTATTACTACCACGTTGGAAAACCGTTGAATGCTATTTTACCCAACCACCCTAAAATCCCCATTTCAGCTCTGCTGGTTTAATGTTGAGCTCCAGCTACATGTAACAGACGATGAAGTCTGTTTACCCAACCACCCTGGCAAAATATAAAGCTTGGATCTCAGCTCTGCTGTTTTAAATGTTTACGGTTGGATCTTTTCGGATCTTCCAGATTTTTGAAAAATCTATCTTGGACACCTCAACTCCATCCACTCGTCGTCCTTTGTGGAACACTCAACCATTTCTCCTGTTCCCGAAAGTTCAGAATGAACGACAGGTACCGTATGCATAGGTATTAGAGCAGACACGGCGCCTGAAGATTTGGATGTGAGGGCGTCATCATGGCTTGTTCAAGATGGGTTTCCATTGTCGCGTTCCCACTCCTTGGATTTATTGTTCTGGGGAAGGCTGATGCATTCCACCTGCTGCAATTCCCTCCTAATAACCGTGCGGTTGGCAGTTCATCGGCCACCACCAGAAACAAATGCAACATCAAGCGCACTACTGGGAGTAGTAGAGATCTGTACAAGAGTTGCAATGATACCGAAGCAAGCACTGGTCGCAGGTCCTACTTGGGAAAAGCGGCTGCCATGGCTGCTGCAACTCTGTTCACAAACGCACCCGTTGCTCATGGAGAGATCACAGAGGATAGCCAATGGCCACTTTGGCCAGCACTGCCAGTGGCACCGTACTCTCGGCGAAGGACGATTCGCCAGGAAGTTGTGCCAGGAGCCGTGTGGACATTTGATCAGGTTATTGGCATCTATTATGTGTTTGTGCCTATTCGAATGACAGTGACAGCATCCAAAGGCCTAAAAGGATTGGTTGTCTATGCTCCAGCGGCTCCTACCAAAGAATGCTTGAACTTGCTGCAAGAATTGATTGACGTTCATGGGCCAGTCAAAGCCATCATTTTGCCAACCGTCGCTGTGGAACACAAGGTCAATGCGGGACCCTTTGCACGACAATTCCCGAATGCCCTCTTTTATGTCACGGATCGTCAGTACAGTTTTCCAATCAGCCTTCCAGGGCAATTTTTGGGGTTTCCGTCATGGACCCAACCATTGCCAGTCAGCAGTGAGGAGGGCAACAATAATCCTTTGGGACCAGACTTTTCTTGGGAGGTTATCAGTGTCAAGCCAGGGCCGGCTTCCCAGTATCAAGATGTTGCTTTGCTACACAAACCATCCAAATCCTTGATGATTTGTGACGCCCTCTTTGCAACGACTGCAGAACCACCATCAATCCTCACACAGGAACCAGAGTACACACGAGCGCTCTTGTTTCATGCCCGCGAAGAAAAGGACGAAATTGTTCCAGACACACCCGAGAATCGTCGCAAAGGTTGGAGACGAATCGTGCTCTTGTTCAACTTTTTCTTTCCCGGATCCGGAGTCGCTGACTTGGGGTTACGTCCGATTGTGCAAGCACTCCAACTCCCGCGTACCCGTTTGGTTGGGGTGGTTGGAAACCTGTTGATTGGAAGGGGGATACTTTCGAAGCCTTGGACTTTGAAACCTACAGCGACAATGGAAAACCTACAATTTATACCATTGTTCAGATCATTCTTTCCCGAGATCCCGCTGCAGTCACAACCTGGGTCAATAAAGTAGGGCAGTGGGACTTTGTTCGCGTCATTCCGGCTCATTTGGATGCTCCATTGGCGGTTGGCCCAAGCCAGTTTCGTGACACCTATGACTTTCTGCAACGAGATCCATCAGGAGGAAACGAGGTTCGATACTGCGACGAGGATGTGGCATTCTTGCGAAAGGCAGAGGAAGGATTCTTGAGCTTTTCCGTGTATCCATCCAAATTCGGAGCCCTGCGAGGGCGAAACGGTGATTGTGGGTTGGTGAATTGATGAATTGATGGAGCCACCCGGACAATTCGAACAAATGCAAGCAGCGAAACGCACACCAATCTGCCAAAGCTTTTCTAGAAAATGAGAAGGTCTCACATGGCCAGTTCCACCAGCCCAGACCACACCAGCTGTCTTCACAAAGCTCTCCGAGAGCCATTCGTGTGGTTCTTATCCAAGCGACTTTTGTATTCTCCGACCAACAATGCGCCATTCTGCGAAGCAGTCTTGCCTTGGTCACGTGCAACACCATAAAGGTTGGAAATGACTAGAAGTACTATACAAACGACTGTCAAGAGTGACAGTCCCCACTATCATTGACAAGCGGCCACTTATCATTTTACTCTGTCCAGGAAGTTTAAGGCCTAAGTTAGCCATAGAACCACTGCCTCATACTATCCATTCCTCCTTTTTCCTCCTTAGTATACGTCATCGTACGGAATGCCTGGGCAGCCGTGCATCCACGGTTCAATCATTCAACCATTGCACTGCTTGCTTGGTGTGATCGTTTTACTGGCTGTCGTCATGACAAGAGCTGTCCTTCCAGCCGAGGCTAGCGTCGGGTTCGTTGGGATCCCAATGTTCATCAAATGTGTCATCGTAGTCATCGGTGAGGTCTGCCGGCATACAGTTGGGGAAATCCGGCATGTCGTAATCCACAACTCGACAGAGCTCGGTACCCTCTGAGAATCCATGCGTACCCGCCTCACAGGGACAGCAATCGGTGCCGCCATCCAGTAGTTCCGAGTTGTCGAGATTGCGCGTCGCTCCACCTGCCAAAGTCGAAGAGGCCATGGCCATGAGCAAAACAAGGAGAAGCTGTCGAGGAGTCATTGTTAAAGTATCTGTTTTTGTGTTTGTGGAAGAAACACTACCGGTAGCTCTCAAGGCACCCGAAATCGAAAGTTTACCGTGTGCTTTTTGGGTTGCGTACCCTGAGAGCAGGGTCCAAGTTAGTTTTTTCTCCGTAGCAAAGCGCGAATAGCCGTGGGAGTTGTCGTGGAAAAGCAACTTCGCTATCTTTTTTTGTTTGTTTGTGAGAGCAATTTCCGGTTTAGGGGAAGACAGAATTTGGTAGCCAAGCCACGTATAATAGCACTCCTCTGTAAACATCGCCATATCGCCATCGAATAGATCGGTACCTGGTACCGGTACAACTGTATATCCTCCAGATACCGGTGGCAGAGCACCTCATGCCTCCATCTTTGCACTTTGTGAGCAAGAACGATCCATTGGGAGGATGCAAGAGTGGACCGTGAAAGGGCACCCCACTACACTAAAAGGGCAAAGTCGCAGTTCTCCCTGGTCTCACCTCCATCACCCCTGTGTACCGGCACCTCTGTGACAGCCGCCTCCATGTCCATCGCTACACACATCGGACGTACTTTGATGTGGCCCTCACATACTTACTTGTCTCCAGTTCTGTGTCCGTCCAGGAATCATGAAACTGTGTCAGAGTGCCTTGAGGGGCGGCCTCTCACTTAAACTTATCTCCGATGCAATCTTGCTTGGATGAGCCCCTTGATTCTTGAGCGCCTGGTTCTGCATCTACAGCATGAAGCATAGCTTAGAACCATGGCTATAATTTCTTCGGCAGATGTCTTTTGGTAGAACAAATGGATGGTACGACTGATTGCTGTGCGTGCTTGTAGCCCCGATAATAGTGTTTCCGGGTGCACACGTTTGATGCTTCACCAAACAAGGCCACATGCAGACAAGAACGTTGAAGAAGCCTTGCAAAGGATACTGAATGTAATTGCTGCGAGCATCATGCTAAAAGCCAAGAGGTTCCCAATGCTTCGGCTCACTCTGAACACGGGCAATGAAAGCCATGGAAGATCGTAAGGAACGCAATTACCTGGAATCTGGCCCGCCAACTTTTTAAAAAACTATAGATAACTTGACTTGCTATCAGACAGGGACGCCTTCTTAAAAGCTAAATGAAGATGCTTCTTCTGGTACGTGTGTTTTTAGACTTCATTTTTAAAAAATAAACTGTAGTTATCAGATATACATTGTGCACCCCCTTGATTACCTGCATAGTACCATGCTGTACTGCCGTTCCTTTCTGTTGTCGTACTATGCAAACTTGGCATTGAACGAAACAGGTGATCGTCGAATGAAGAGAGAAGTTCCTACAGATTGGCTCCTTCCGAACGAAGGACGGATTTCCTCCTCGGAGCTGTTCTCTTCTCCCCAAAAGTCATTGTCATCTGCTGCAGTGGGAGCGGGGATGCTCTCCGTGATGCTATTGTTGTTGTTGTTGCTGCTGTCTTCCAGAAGAGGTGGACGGCAGGAAGCGCTTCTTGCCAAATTGACTCGCAATCTAGCACTGCAGTTCAGGGAGCGTCTCGACATTTGAGGCCTCTGTTGAAGAAGCTCCATTTCATCCTGGCTGCTGTTGTCCATGCTGCCGCGACGCACCGGAGAATCAATGGATTCGTTGGACAGGTCCATGGTTTGAGAAAGCATACCCCAGTCAAGATCCCGTGCGCTGATATTCTTGTTCTTGTTGGGACTGTTGCCCTCATACATTTGACGGCTAATGGCGGGTCCACGACAAGAAGAACGGTTCTTGGCATCATGGGTAGCACGTTTCTTGGAGTAATCGACCAAGTGGCGCATGCTGCCGCCTTCATCATCATTGCTCTTGCTGCGCCTCATCAAGGAAGGACGGCGAGTGCTCCTGATGCTTCCGCAACTGGACTGGGAACTGCGGCGCTGGGGGCGGCGATTTTGGAAGATAGTAGTGCTCATGGTGCGAATTTGGTTGTGTTTTGGAATATTGTGTGCTTCTACTTGAGAAAGGAAACAGATTATGAAGACAACCTGGAACATGGAAGGAGACAAGGTGGCCAAGTTGCCCTGCAAGAGCCTTCCTTCGAAACGGCCATTGATGATATTTGATATCAACATGTGGGAATTAGCACCAATGACTGTTGTTAAAGATTGCATATTGCAGGTGCAGGTTTAGCTTTATGGTGATTAGTACCAGTGTAAACAGTACTGGAAAGCACTAAACTTCCTACAGTAAATCACATGCCACATGAAACATGAAGCTTTGATGAAGGAAGCCAAGGGAAGCATCTCCATGACTATAGCACTGGCACATAACTCTCAGAGTCTCTTTGAGCTAGTTCACTGTGCAAAGGTTTTAGACACACCAATCATGCCAAACAACTATCAAGGTCATCATGCCAGTTGAAGTGTTCAAGTGTCAAAGCACGGGAGGAAGCGCGGACCCAATTTTTACGATCATTGGATGCCTCCATTAAATCCAAAGGCACTGTTGGGGTTGGAAAAAGAGCACACGACACCACAAGCATCTTCACTTCAATAATCGATCGACCAGTGGCTGCTGGGCCTCTGGGCCTGCTGCCACCGGTCTACATGAACTTCGGCTTATCGGCCGGTACACCAAGCTCCATGCTCCATCCAAGGTACCAGGTATGCGTACATACACACATGTACATGTACATACAAACCGCAAGAGAATCGGATTGCGAGTTGCGAGACTGCGACAACGGTACGACTGTACTACGGTCAAGACTTCAACAGTACTACTCAGAGTACCGGTAGCTGGTAGCTACTATAGCTAGCTAAAACTGGTGCCTATCTAGTACTAGAGTATTCGAGTCCGTACGCTAGCTAGCTAGCGCTACGAATAGATTTATTGACTTTCGAAAGGTCTTATTCTGATCAGTAGAGTAGACTCTACATTGGCTTGATAGCTCTCAAGCACTACTACTAGCTAGCTACGTCGTAGATGCTAGATACTCCAAAGCTCCAGACTCCAGAGTTCATGTACTGACTGAGTACCGGTAGTACTGGTACCATAGCCACAGCCACAGCCAGCACGTTGCGAGTTATCAATATAATTGTCAAACTTCCCTCTCTTCAGGTTCGTATGAGCCGCAACTCGGCAACCCACAGGCCATGTGAGGTAAGAGGGGACAAGGAGTGCCCCTAAAACATTAACTTCCCAAATTGCAACTAATCATCGTTCCCTTGCTTGACGTACCGGTGTACCGGTACCGGTAGCTTGCTTCCGTTCTCTGTATTAGATTGGTCACCACCCAATTTGTGAAAGTTTCTTGCGAAGGGGAACCTTTCGGAGCAACGCAATGGCCACTTGCCGCCACAAAGTAGAAGATGATAGCAAGATGATAATATCTTGGTTGGGTACGCTTGATGTTGGTTTTGCCACCACCATGGCTTCCACTTTGCCATGCTGTATGCTGTGGCATCCTGTGCCAGGTACCGGTAGGCTGTACCGGTAGGTCTTGTAGTTGCTGTTGATCGACCTGGGGGTTAGTGGCTAGTAGCTAGTTGACAAGGCTGTTGCAAAACTGGTGGGTCTCAGCTAGCTACCGGTACCACCCTGACCATCACCAAGTACGGTAGCTGGAGCTGTTGTGGAGGAACCGGCCCTCAGAAGCCTCCTTCGCAGCCCACAGCCCAAGGGAACACTCGGGAAACAGCCAGAAAGAATCTCCGCAAAGCCAAAACTTGAACCAATTAGTTCTTCAGCATTCTAATCCAGCTCTGGGTCTTGCAAGCAATTGACTACTGGCTAGCTAGCTGTTAGGTACTGAAGTTGGACAGCTTTCGTTGCTTGGCTGAAGGTGGGTTTTCCCTGTCGTTCTTCAAACTTCTTCTGCCTTCCTTGTCTGCTTGCAATGTTGCAATGTTGCAATGCTCGCTTCTTCCCGATCAGCAGCGTTCCCTTCAACATGGAAAATCAATCGAAGAAAGAACGCTTCTACAGGCAGCTGGGCTGTTTTGCTCTTGTGATACACTGGCTAGCTACCGGTAGCTAGAGTAATTCGATTCCCACTGTAGCTACGACAACATTTATTTGGATTGCAATTCGATTCCCACTTTTGCTTGGACAAGATCCAAGCAGATCTACCTGGTAGTTGCTTTGGTTCAACTTTTGCATCATAGCTGGCTCTGGCTCTGACACTGTAAGCGCTTGTAGACTAGTACATGATCTCCGCAGCCGGTAAGCACCAGATAGATCTAATAGCTCTTGGGCTGTTCGTCATTGGCAAGTTCAACCGTTCAACCAGCAAAAAAAAGAAAAACTAGCTAGTTGATGCGATAGCTAGCTACTTCTTGCAAGAAGATCCACATCAAGCATCCAGATTGATCTTGAGTGCTTGACGGACCGCCGATACGATATCGTCTCTATCTTCAAAGTCAGTGACGGCTTGTTCCACGGTTTCTTGCCCTTCATCATTCGTACCCAGTGTCAGAGCTCCCAACTCGATGAATTTCTTTCTGGCCAGCTCTCCTAGTGCACCGGTACGCAAGTCCACAAACAGAAGCTCTTCACCCTTGACATTCTTTTCTCTCTTTTTGAGTGATACACCCCATAGATTCTTGACGTTTTCGGCTTCTTGGACTTCCAATCCATCCTGGTAGTCTTGTGCTTGTTTTTCGGCAACCTTGGTGACACCCAGTTTGGGATGACTGGTGATTTTTTTGATGAGTTCTTGTTTTTCAATAATCTGTGATTGTTCTTGCCATTCATTGTCGTGTTTTTTGGATTTTGTGAGATATTTCTTGGCAATGCATTCCTTGTGAGGGACGGAAAAGATGGATGCCGTCTTCAAGTCCATGAAAACAATTTGATTGCCGGCATGAATCATCATGACGAGTTTTCCACGCTTGTGGGTCGTCGCCGCCAATAGTTGGAGCACCCCATTGTCTTTGAGGGCATCGGAGAATTTTTCCGAGATACCGACACCATCGTCTGTTAGAGCAGGAGAGAGGGGTGCCTTGATGGTTTGGTTGGCCATGAGGTTAAGAATGACGGCCAATTCGTCTTTGGGCACAATTTGTTTGTATTGTGTTCGAATGGAGGAAAAGACTGTTTCGGTGTATACGTTGACACACTTGAAGAAACAGAATCCCAGGTTCAAAGATTCAATGCCTTTTCCTGCTACGACAAGCACAATTTTGCCATAGGGTTTGACAACTTCCGTCAACGATTTGAAGAGCGTTTGCGTCGGTTCGGTCAAGGAGACAATATAGTCCACTGATCCCTCTTTACCACCCTTTAGGACTTGATCAATTTGATGGTGACGAATAACCTTGGTGGCTCCCAAGGACTTGCACCATTCTTCTGATTGCGGCGACGCCGTGGCGATGATTTCCATACTGGGATGCCACGCCTTGACCAACGTGAGCAACCAACTGCCGACGCCTCCCGAAGCTCCCACAATGAGTAGTGATTTGTCGGCTTGATTGGAATTGGCTTCTTGTTGCTTGTTTTGTAGTCCCACGCCTTCCAACTCGACATGTCCGTCTTGTTGGACTTTGACGTGGATATCGGCGGCCAATCCGAGTTTGACCAGACACTCGTAGGCAGTGAGTCCAGCCACGGGAATGGAAGCCGCATCCCGTAGTTCAATGGACGTTTTGGAGGAGGGAATTTCGCAGACACATCGATGATCCACCACAATGTAACTGGCATAGGATCCTTTGCGATTGGGATCCGCCAAGAAACATACTTGCTTTCCCATCAAGTGGGGAGGCGCGGCGCTTCCCACGTGCTCCACAATCCCAGATCCTCCGTATCCAGGAATAAACACATCTTCGATTGTGGGGCCGTTGGCCAATTTCTGAAGATCGACAGGATTCAAGTCGGCATACGCAAGCTTGATCAGCACATCGTGAGACTGCAGATCTTGTTTCGCATCGGCCACATGCTGAAGCTGTAACACATCGCTGTATACTCCGCGCTGTTTGGCTGCTAGGGCTTGCATTATATTATGGTTGTTCTGTCAAACGACAATGCAAGTGGCAAGCAGAGGACCAGGAAGAGAAAACAGACTTCTAGCTTTAGAAGTGGCACAATGATTGGTGTCTTCTACTAGTACTCCACCTAAAGAGTGAATAGATTAGCTTTGTCCACGAGCTGATCGAGCTGTGTGGCGAAGATCTCGAGCCGAGAACTAAGCTACTCCGCCGATAAAGTCCAGAATTTTGAAAAAGGTGATAACTCCTCAGAATGAGCAGTCAGGATTCTTGAATCTGTCTGATGGTTTGGGTTAGGGTGAAAGGAAAATTCTCAACTTGATCTTCAGATTTGTGTAGAAGCTGGTAGGTTTGAGAATTCTCAACTTAATTGGCGGAGTAGTAAGATGCAAGATACCAAAAGATTCTGCTTTTACATCGACGTCAAGGTCCAAAGATCTACCTACTAGTAACCGCTTCACGGGCTTGTAATAGCTGAGACCGCTTGCTCTGGACCTCTGTGGAAACGTCATTCGTGGCAAATTACTTAAGAGACGATACACCGAGGCTTAAGAGACGATCGAAATGATTTAAGAGACGAAAGCAATCGTCTCCTATATTTAGAAGGCGATTCATTAGGAGACATTACATTTAGGAGACGATCGTTTCGAAATAGGAGACGATCCGAAAGATTTAAGAGACAATACCATACAGTTTACATGGTGCACTTAAGAGACGATCCGTTGAGGATAGGAGAGGATCCGTTGAAAATAGGAGACGATTTTTAAGAGGAGACCAAAGATTTAAGAGACGATCCGTTTCGTCTCCTATTTTTAGGAGACGAAATCCATTAAATAGGAGACGATCAAAAGGATTTAGGAGACGATCGGTAGCACGACTCAAGTTTCCACAGAGGTCCTGGGTACGTATACATACCGTTTGGCCATACTGTACTGGAGTGCCTGTGAGTCATTCCTGGCGGTTCCAGCGAATAGAAAAGAAGGTCATTGTAGTCACTGGGTTGAGAACCAGTCTTCGAAGTCAAGCTGCTCGGCCAATTGGATCCATGCAAGCTGTACCAGCAAACCTCTGCAAAAGATACCACTGTGCAACTTCCACTCTTTGACACCCGTCACCTGCCAAAGCATTCTCACAATTTGTATCTTCACAAATCACAAAACACCACCAAAGACCTCTTCTTGGTTCTTGATCTGCTTCTCTAAATCAACACAAACAAACACAAACACCACCATGAGCGAAGAACCAGCCCTCGACAAGTCCAAGATCATGGCCGATAATGGCTGGGACAAGGGCTTTGTCTACTTTGGTCATCCCGCCACCGAAACCACAGTCAAAGTGGTGACTGCGGTCCAATTCTTGACGACCCAAGACAACTTTCCGTTTAAAAAGGAAGACGGAACGCTCAAGCATGTGATCCTCAACTTTGATGACAAACCCATTGCCAAAGATGACGAAAAGAATGAAGTGAGTCTCGGAATTGATAGTGCCGAATATAAGTGTGTTTCGGGCGGCCGTACATTCATGCCTGCCGTGGCCATTGACGGAGAAATGTTTTTTGAATCGGGAGAAATTGTCAAAATGCTGCACGAAAAATACCCCGACTCCACTTTGACGCCCGAGGAGAAGAAACAAGTCGATGAGTGGATCCAGTTCAACATTGACAACACCAATCGCATGCTGGTCGCACTCAAGCATTTTGGATGGTGCTTCATGCAGGGAGCTCGACCCAACTACGTGGCGTATGGCAAGGGAAACAAGGACGATGCGTGGGAAAAGGAACTTGTCAAGGATGTACATGTCTTTTTTGAAAAAATGGACAAGCATTTTGTCGACAAGAAGGAACCGGCATTCTTCGTGGGAGATAAACTCACCATGGCCGACTGTGTCATGATCAATTGGCCGTGGTCCTTTCATCTCATTGTCGAACTCAAAATCGAGGAACGATACCCCAATGTCTGGAAACATTTCAATGCATTGAAGGACAAGGCCATTGCCGGATCCGACGCCCACTACAACGTCTTTCCATACTTTGCCAATGTTGTTACGGATCTTGCCAAGGAGGCCCGAGCAGAGGGATTCCATATTGAAAATGAAAAGCACTGGTAGACGACACCGTCAAGAGCGAAGAACAAGACTGCTGGCTTCTTTCCATGGTGAACGTTTTTTAATGGCAAGTAGAGCAAGTGGATCCTTGTCTAGCTATATGTAGAGGTGAAAGAATATGTTGTCATCGTGTAGCTAGATTGGTCCCTTTGCCGGTATCTCTTCTTAGCCCACTTTGCCGTGCCGCCGTGCCCTTCCGTACGGTACCACGCAATGCCAACAAGTCTTCGCATGCCATTGAATAGGTTACTTTCTGGCTACGGAGCCAGATACCTGGGCGTGTGCTGTCTCTTGTTTCCATGCTTTTGTCCCATCGACCAATGCCTTGGCACAACGTTGCACCCCTACCCCTACCGGTACCGGTACCACTTCCGCTACGACTCTTTTGACCGATAAAAGCGACGACCGCCCTCCAACGGCACCATCTCTCGCTACAGGACACTTTCTGTTTAGCAGCGACGAGGGCTTCAACCAAGTGATTCTATTTCCAAGCCGTAGCCAAATACGCAATCTCAAAGGTTGGGTAACTTCTGTTTTCTTCTTTAATTCTCTCTAATCTTATGTACTTCTTCTAAAACGGTTGCATGAGTACAAAAGGCAACCAAACTGGAGCGGCATTCTTTTTAAACAGAAAATGGTGTACTTCACCACTTTCACCTTTCGCCAGCTTTCCTTTACATCCAATCTAATGAGCTAAATCTTGGGGGTGTTGCTGCCACCTTACTTTGCAGCCGCTGTAACAACACCAAGGATAACTTCGATGGTGGCACCTGGGCCCATGGCAATCAGTGTAACCACATCACCAGTCTTGAGCACATCCAAATCCTCCTGTGCCTCCGCCAACAGACGCTGGAGGCTGACCAAAAAGGAACCAGAAGAGATGTTTCCATAGTCACGGAGAACCGACTTGGTGTGACGAAGGTCATGCTCTTGATCAAGACCAAGATTCTTGGCAACCAGCTGCATCACACTCTTGCCTCCTCCATGGACCACCCACTGCCCAACATCTGCTGGCTTGAGGCCATGGCGTTCCAAAAGTTTCCTGACTGGAATCTCAACTGAATTGCCGACTGCAGCTGGGATGCGCTTGGTCAACTTGAAAAAGGGTAGTTCGCTGTTATCATCCATGTTGTAACTCATGTCCTCAAAGTATTCGGGAATGGTAATACTTTCAAAATCGAGAAGAGAAATCTTGGGTGTGGCTGGTTTGCCTACAGGGGAAACCACCGAATTGGGGCTTCCGGGCACAGCAAAGCTTGACCCCATTGGACTGGCAGCAAGGATGGATGCAACAGCACCATCACCAAAAAGACTGTTGACAACTCCGTCTCCAATATTGCCCTCCCTATTCACAAAGTATGCAGAGTTCACCTCACAGCAAAGAAGCAGAGCCTTGCATTGCTTTCCACGGATGGAGGCCATGTGGCCTAACTGGGTGGCAATAGCACGAAGTCCAGAAGCACCTCCATTGCAGCCCATGCCAACAATATCACTTCGCAAGACATCTCCTCGAAAGGGGAGTTTCCGGATCAAGATGCCTGAGACTCCAGGCAAGGCAAGACCTGTGCTGGTTACTGTGACTAGCATATCAATGTCCTTAATGTCTGTTTTGGTGCTGGAAAGGGCAGCCTCCACAGCCTTCACACCAATATCATCAAGCCCCTTCATGAAAGTTGCATTTCGTTGTGTTGCAGTGGGCTGTCTGGGCTGGTCACCTCCAATGGCAGGGGGGAGATACAAGTGCCTTTTCTGAATGTGAGGAGCACTCAACAACTTCCAAGTAACTGGGTCCTTGATGTCAAGAATCTTGCCCACTTCCAGTTGAGAGTATGATGTCTCAGGGAAAGCTGTGGCTGGGCTCCCAACCATGTCCACTGCAAATGAAAGGTTGGGAGAAAAGCCAAGGGAATGCTTGGCGGTATTAGCACTCAAAGCCTTCTCCAAAAACTCACTTGTAATTGACGGAAGAATGGTCTTGAAGAGCTTTTGCTCCGGGATTTGCAAGATCTCTGGCCTCTCTGGGTGGACATGCTGTTGATCATCATGGATGGAGATGAATTGTTTGACCTGTGTTTTCATCATCTTGACAGTTGAAAGCTTGTGCTGTGTGCGTGCGATTGGCAGAATGATGCTTTAAGATTGCTTGTGGTTTGTTTTTGTGAGCGTTGATGAAACTCATCGCAGCTTCTTCGGATTTGCAAACACACAATACTGGCTCCTTGTCTTGGGCAAGATACATGCAAAGCGGCGGGAGCTGAACCAAAAGCATAGTCTGGAAAGAGAAAACGACGATTTCACCGAAGGCAAACATTAGCTCGAGCGACATGAAGCAGAGGAGCGAAGAAAAGGGAAGGGATACGCTGCTCGATACCAGCAGATAGCAAGGTATACTGTAGTCCGGTTTAGATCCTGCTACGTGTGGGTTTATTCAACGAGGTGTCGCTGTAAAACAAACCGCGACTGGACATAGCTGCTTTCACGGACTGTGACTGGGTGACTAGTACTCTCAAACCGATAGTCAACTTCACGTCGATCGTCACTGATCAAACGGGCTTTGGCGGGGACAAGACAAAGTCGTCGTCCCAAAATTGCTCGAGCAAGACGACCAACGCAAACGCCATGGTCGGCCTCTCGAACTGCGTCGAACTGAATCATTTTTGCCTGAACAACAATTGAGTTCCGTACCCGGGTTTTCATCGTCGATGTGGGCTCAACTTCTCCGCGTCGAAGAGGAGGTTCAACGCCGCTCCTTTCCCACTAGTTCATGAGTTGGCGTAATATCCAAAGGATGGGCAAATGCGTATCTCCGTCGCGAAGCTTGATGATGCCTCATCTTGCCCAGGCAGATCATGCCGGCTATCTTATTCAACCGTTATCTTTCTTGTTGGCTATCGCAAGACCGGGCTGTTGTCCTTAGTGGACCTAGTGAGCCTTCTTCGAAGCATCGGTGGAGAGGTTTGACCTTGACGTGAAATTGCCCGGGGTAAACTACAAGGATCACGCCAACCTAGTCCCGACCGAAGCCAACAAATCACAGCTCTTTCTACGATACTGGTATCTTCCTCGAGTCTAGTACACTTGAGACGTCACCAAGCCCAAAACACCCCTTCGATCCTACATGTCACGTAACAATTCATTTCAACGCATGGAGGACACAACAAGGTGGCCCCATCATACCGATACGAAGGGCAACATAAAGTCGGAGGGAACTCTTGTTTCATTGCGAAACCCAGCGCTGCTGCTAAGTTGCCGAATCTGCTGTACATGACAACTGTGACGAGATATATCTTGCAAGGGCGAAGGGGAATTAAGTAGCTGTCTTCTACCTCGTTTTGCTGTGTTGTTACGGGAACGGGCATCATTCGGCGGGTCTCACTGCCAATTAGCTCCTATCCTGAGAATTGTCGACGTTCAAAATCCAGCATAATCTGGTGTGGCATGATATTGATTTGAACCATCTTGATAGGTTCCTCTGACCCCTCAGTCTTGCGGACTGTGTAACGATGCACCAAGTGGGCCAGGACAACTTTGATTTCTGCTGTTGCCAAGGGATGACCCACACAATTACGGGGGCCAATTGAGAATGGCATATAGCATGATTCTGGCTTGCCTGAGACCTGATTGCCTCTATCCTCCTTCAAAAAGCGCTCCGGGATAAACTCATCAAGGCTTTCGTGATTCTGACCATCGCCACGCCCAGTTAGACAAGGGTACACAAAGAGATTGGTTCCCTTTGGGATTGAGTATGTATGATCACCCTTGGTCAATTTAATGTCCACAAGGTTCCAACGAGCAACCCCAGCAGGAGAGTGAAGCCTTAAGGCTTCCTTTGTAACTGCATCAAGATACTCGAGCCTCATGATGTCTTTGTAAGCAGGTTGGTGATCCGGTGAATCAAACTGGGCAAACAAAGCATCAACTTCTTTTTGTAACCGAAGCTGGGTAGACTGGTGAGTGGCAAGCTCATAGAGAGTTTGGGAAAGAACAATGGCAGAAGTATCTTGCCCGGCAAACAAGAACATGCGGACATTGCCAAGCAACTCTTTCTCTGTCAAGCGGTACCTGTCATCATCTTCATCTTCCATCATCAGGTAGGATAATAGGTCATTGAACTCACCCCTACTTAGTTGGCTTGACCTGCTTTGTTGGGCCAGGTTCTCTGGACTATTGCATTGCACCGCCTTGCCTTGGTTGTATTTGGACATCCGTTCTTCCAAGATGCTTTGAATAATACTGTTTAGCTTGTCTTGGCATTGCTGGAATTCCTTGTTTTCTTTGAAGTAAAATGGAATAAGAAAGGGTAGGCGTTCAGAACGTTTGGTTATGATAAACTGCAGTCGCCTGAACAGTGCATACAGGGACTGGTGGTTGCTGTTCTTGGTGCCTTTCTTTGTTGCGTCTGAATCGAGACCACCAAAAGACCGGCTAAAGGCAACAATGCCTAAGATTTCAGCTGCTAACCTGGTACACCATTCACCAGCTTCCATCGTGAAGGTTGGCTCATGGGCAGCTGATGCAGTACCATCCCATTGGGGGAAAACTGTTTCATAAAGCAGCTTAATAGTGACAGAGTTTGTACGCTCCAACAAACTTTGGTTCATGCCCAAAGCAGTGAGCTTTCTTTGGTGTTTCCAGCGAGGAGTGTCTTCCAGCATTTCCAAGAAGCTGTCACCTGCCAAAGCCTTGCATAGTCCATAGATTTCAGCTTCTTTGATGATGTCCTTTGAGATGTTCTTGTCTTTAAGGACTTGCTGCACCATCTCTGGATCAGTGATGAACACCAAGGGCTGGGCAAAAGGCAAGAGCTTGAAAGGGTTTAGTGCCCACAATCGCATGATGCCATCCTTTTGTGAAAACTGTTTGTGCAGCTGCATCAGGTTGTCAAAGGACCGAGCGACGCCTGGATAGCCAGGAATGGGATTCTCCCCAGAAAAATCCACAGCCAGACTCAGGTGGGCAAGCCATGGGTGGGGTGTGAAAGCATTGTTCGATTCTGACAACGAAGGACCCGGCAGTACTTCCACCATCCGCACAATTCGCATCTTCTTAGAGAACCAATGCACTAGTCCAAGAACCACTGTGGCAATGAGAAGGGTCAATAGAATGAAATAGGGAGTGTTGGCATCAATCGACAGTGTCGTCACGGTCCCATGACTATAATCCACCGAGGATGTTCCATCATTGGCATCGATAACTGTTGAAAACATCGCGACTACCGGTATCCACAGCAAACCCATTATAGCAGTGCAAGCATGAACCTTCTTGAAAGTAGTGCGGTGTCGGTAACAAAAGAAGCTTCGCCGCTTCGCGGAAAGGGGAGATCCATCGACGAAAGATCTCAAGAAACCGAACAGGTCCGTCCAGAGGTAAGCCAGTATCAAGCTGTCTAAATTTTCCGTGGCAGGTTGAGTGAGTCCTGGACAATTCTCCCGTACATGTAGTTCACAAAAACTGGGGACTGGGGACCATCAATTGCCATGACTAGCTAGCTAGCTTGCTAGCTAGTAGACTACCAGGTACTAGATCCTCTCAACACAAACTAAAGTAGATAGTTAGGCAAAAAAAATGTTATACAGGACATATATACCACTTGATTGCAAAGCCCAAATACTGAGTTGCACATTTGGTCTTGGCCACAAACATGAAGCAGTTCAATACGGTTTTGTTTTCTACCAGCCACTTGGAGCTGCAAAGTCCCTTGCATTAACAGTGTCTTCGTTCAAAATTCAGCATGATCTGGTGTGGTTTGACAGTTATTTGCATCATCTTTATGGGTTCTTCTGACCCCTCAGTTTTGCGGACAGTGTAACGATGCACCAAGTGGGCCAGGACAACTTTGATTTCTGCTGTTGCCAATGGATGACCCACACAATTACGGGGGCCAATTGAGAATGGCATATAACATGATTCTGGCCTACCTAAGATGTGATTGCCTCTATCCTCCTTCAAAAAGCGTTCGGGGATAAACTCATCAAGATCGTCATTGTTCTGACCAGCCCCAAGACCTGTTAGAAAAGGGTACACAAAAATATTGCTTCCCTTGGGGATTGAGTATGCGCAGTCGCCCCGGGTCAGTTTAATGTCCACAGTATTCCGCCGTGCAACCCCAGCGGGAGAGTGAAGCCTTAAGGCTTCCTTTGTAACTGCATCAAGATACTCGAGCCTCATGATGTCTTTGTAAGCAGGTTGGTGATCCGGTGAATCAAACTGGGCAAACAAAGCATCAACTTCTTTTTGTAACCGAAGCTGGGTAGACTGGTGAGTGGCAAGCTCATAGAGAGTTTGGGAAAGAACAATGGCAGAAGTATCTTGCCCGGCAAACAAGAACATGCGGACATTGCCAAGCAACTCTTTCTCTGTCAAGCGGTATCTGTCATCGTCTTCATCTTCCATCATCAGGTAGGATAATAGGTCATTGAATTCTCCAAGAGACTGGTGCTTACGTTTTGTCGTGTCGTTGTCTTGCTGCCTGGTCTTTGCTTCCTCGTGTTGTGCTACGCGTTCTTCCACGATGCTTTTGATTACATTGTTGAGCTTGTCTTGGCATTGCTTGAACTCCTTGTTTTCCTTAATGTAAAAAGGAATAAGGAAGGGTGGACGCAGAGATCGTTTTGTGATAATGAACTGCAGATTCTTGAAAAGGTCGTACAAGGACTGTTTGTTGTTGTCTGTGTTTGTTGCTTCTGATTCCAGACCACCAAAAGACTGGCTGAAGGCAACAATTCCCAGGATTTCAGCCACTAACCTGGTACACCATTCCCCGGCTTCCATGGTGAAGGTTTCAGCTGTTGATGTAGTACCATCCCATTGGGGGAAAACTGTTTCGTAGAGCAGTTTAATAATTTCAGAGTTTGTATGCTCCAACAAACTTTGGTGCATGCCCAAAGCGGTGAGCTTTCTTTGATGTTTCCAGCGAGGAGTGTCTTCCAGTATTTCCAACAAGCTGTCACCCGCCAAAGCCTTGCATAGTCGGTAAATGTCGGCTTGTTTGATGACATTCTTTGAGATGTCCTTGGCTTTCAGGACTTGCTGCACCATTTCTGGATCTGTGACAAACACCATTACCTGGGCAAAGGGCGTGAGCTTGAATGGGTTTAGTATCCACAAGCGCATGATGCCCTCCTGTTGTGAAAACTGTTTGTGCAGCTGGATCAAGTTGTCAACGGATCGAGCAAGACCTGGATAGCCTGGAATGGGATTCTCCCCAGAAAAATCCACAGCCAGAGGCAGGTGGGCAAGCCACGCGTGGGGAGTGAAAGCATTGTTTGGTAGTTCCAAGGATGGACCTGGCAGTGTTTCCAACATTCGGATACATCGCATCCTCTCAGAGAACCATGTTACCAGCCAACTGAGCACTGTTGCCACAAGAAGAGTTGATAGAATGAAATGGATAAAGTACACATCAACGTGTTCTCCGAGAAAAAATGAAAGTGTGGTCACATTCCAATTTCTATAACCTTGAGAGGATGCTCCATCACTGGCATCAGCGCCACTTGAGAACATTGTGAATATCCACACGAAGATCATCTCCAATGCAGAAATCTCTCGATATACTGTGGGATCGCCGTTCACGGGACGAGAGATGGTGGACGGAGATGGTCAAAGAAGTGGCTGAGAGGTTTTTTGGGCGAAATAATGGGAGGGACTGAGTCATTGATCCGGCTTTGATGGCTTTTGTATTGCTTAACCTTGTGCTTAGTCGGCTTCTCGATGACGACGTGTCCTTGCATACGTCTTTTTGTAACGGCAAAGAAGGACGAGTTTGGTTGGGTCCTCGATCCCGTCCTCCACAATTCTACCAAGCCGCATCCATCTACAGGCACAGTATCCCACTGCTCCCGACTGTTACGGCACTGAAAGGGTTCCTATCTTTGAAGAGGAGGCAGACCGCATCGAAACCGTCGTCAAGCTGTGTGTTTTTAGTAGTAAAGGCAGCCGATCAAGAAGTCCTTCCTGGCTTTAGCGAGAACGTCTTGAAGAATTTGTATCGTTCGACGACTCCGACCTGTTACCCTCGCCAAGACTTTTACTGAGAAGCAATACCATACCATGAGCTCGAACCCACCAACACCTTCTAGTGACGCAAACAATTCGGCCACGGCCCCTCCCAGTGGCGCTACCCCTGCTCCTGCTCCCGGTGCTAGTGTTCATTCTCAGCCGCCTCCCAGACACCCCTCTGCCCCCACCGGTAGTCACGCCCCACCCTCGCAACATCCACAAGGGCAGCAACCCAATCAGCAAATGTCGGATTCCAACAAGCGCGCTGCGTTAGCGGGTCAATGGAGGACCCCACCTTTGCCAGTCTTTCCTACGGCTGTTTCTTCCAATCTGCAACCTCATTCGCATCACCCCCCTCCTCCGCCTCAGCAAGCGCCTCCACAGCAGCAAGCAAGTATGCCGCCGCCACCACCGGCCAATCTGCCAGATAATTCGGAAGATTACGCGAAAGCTCTTCAGGAGGCATACCGTCGTGGAGCTGAAGCGGCAGCCGCCATGGCCGCCCACCAGCAACACATGTCTCCGTCGGTGTCATGTCCAAACTTCCAAAGGCCAATGGCAGCGGCACCTCCTGCTCCCCCTCCTCCGCAGAGTCACGTCCAACCAATCATGACTTCTCGAAGTGAAGACATGACCGCTTCCTCCAATGCTTATTCGCACTCGCATCCGCACACTCATCCCCCTATGCCACCACCACACCCCGCCTATCACCCACACCCTCATGCGCCTCCCCCGGTTGCCCAGCCTCATCACGCTACGCATGCCCCACCGCCCCCACCTCCACATCATCCTCATCCTGCGTCTCATCCACCCCACCCACAATACGCGGCTCACCCTCATCCGCCTCACCAATATGCAGCGCCTCCCAGCTATGTGGCCCCGGCTCCGACGCCAACAGCACCTGCTCCGCCGCCGCCGCCACCACCACCACCCGCTGGAGCACCCCCACAGCAACAACAACAAAACGCGTCGGTTCCAAATCCACTTACCAACATGCCCCCGCCTCCCAACAAACAACCTCAAACGACCATGGCCCCTCCACCACCAGCACCGCCTGCTGGAGGCGCTCAACTTGTCGTTCCTCAGGCTGCGCAACAAAGATCCGTGAGTTTGCCGGATATGACATCATATGCCGTTCAGGCAGAAGAAGAAAAGCGCCAGAAACGATTGGCCAGAAACAGGGCCAGTGCCAGGTTGCGACGATTGCGCAAAAAGAACTTGGTATGTACCACAAATTGGAAGACACAATTTATTTGTTTGTTTTATGAGATCCTAGATTAATTTTTTCCCACAAAATCTCACCGCCATTTTGTATCGTTTGTTTCGCCTTTGTCCGTCGCGGTGTCACAGGTCGACGCCTATGAAACGGAAGTGGGCATTTTGGAAAAGACACTCCAACAGCTGAAAGCTCATGAATGGGGTGTTCCAGCTGCTACGGCTGCCAACACTCCCAGTGAAGAAAAGAGTCACCAATCACTTTTGGAAGCACTCTGCATGGATCGTGGACAGCAGGTCATCTCGAGCGAACAAAGAGCCCAACAGTGCCAAGACATTCTCGAGCAACAGCTTCAGCAGATGGAGCTGCTACGACAAGTGCAGTTTGAGCAACAACTGTTGGCACAAGTAGCGGGAGAAAACAAGGATGAAGACCCCGAGCTCGCGGAAATGGCGCAAGAGCTCGACTCGATCCTCAACTTGACGGACGACCAAAAGTCTCAGCTACAGGAAACCAGCAAGGGTTTGGATGATGAAATGACTGCTTTGGATACTGTCTTTTCTTCGTTGGTCATGATGAAAGAGAACGAATGGTTGTTGAACCAGGGCGTTCAGGACATTACAGACCAGCTCACATCCATCCTGCACAAGAATCAAATGTCCAAGTTTCTGCTTTGGGCAGACGCCAATGTGGAAGCGATTGATCAATTGGATCATGTCCACGCCGCTCCGAAGACGGCGCCTCATCCTCATGGACCCATCTTTACGTTTGGAGTGGAGACTACGCCCATGGAAGATGAGGGCGACGGCAGGTAGACGACCCAGTTTTTGGCAGAAAAAAAGGCAAGGGGGAAGAAGAAACCCGACAAAAAAGATCACAATACATTGCATGTTACAAAGATACAGAAAGAAAGTACCCATATATTTCACATCTCGAGTCATTGCACCCAGGGCACACAATCATACAGGTACACCATGCATTTTCCTTCAGCGTAAAGAAGGCCTCCACGAGAGGGGCTTCTTGCTGTGACTGGAGGAATGCGACCCATACAAACATCATAAACACAATACACTATAATTAACAATAACGAGGGGATTTTCTTTTGAACACATGTTATGTTGGCGTTGATTGTAGATTGCATAGTTTAGTTGTTTCTATTCCCGTGAATGATTCAGTCAGCCCATTGGTTTGATAACGGAGCCTCAGCCAAAAGTCCCAAGAAGGGAGATTTGCTTCTTATGCGTCAACGCATCAAGATCCACCGTTGCTCTGATACCTCCTCTCAACTACCGTTAGCGCTGCTATCCAAGTTCAAGCTGCCACTGGCTATCAGCCACAAATCATGCAAGAAAGTGCTAATGATTTGCTTATGAGCGATAGCTGTCATCGATGTTTCTTCATTTCACCACGCTCAATGGACATCCTTGGGGTTCCATGAATTGAATCGGTTTTGCGCGTCACGGTATCTGACAGCGCGGATTGCATCGACAATAGATCCCTCAATCACGAGAATCCGAAGAGGATCCTCGAAGTTTGCTTTTGGCCCCCGCCTTGGGATCCTCCTCCTCCTGGGGCATGTATATCACACAGCAGGATGTTTCTCCCCGCAAACAATCCTCTGCCATGATTCTTCTATTTTGGTATTTGACTTGCATTTGTTGTCGTGTAGCAGCATCATCATCATCCCCATAGTGGTCACAGACGGCATCGAGTACCGTCCACTTGTCTTCTCCTTCTGCTGAAATTAACTGCCACATGTACTCTTCCACAGCTTTTGGATAGCTCCAAACATCCAACGTGGGAGCTGTGTGAATGAGCCATTGCAAGAGCTTGGCGGGCACTTGCGAGTCCATGTCAAACGTGGTCATGCCTAGCGGTCGATTCATTGCGGGTCCTTTTTGATTTGTTGTGGTGTCCTCTACTAGTGCTGAAGATTGTTCGTGTTGTTGTTGTACTCGTTTCTTGGGAAGCCACAATAGGGCGGGATGGACCGCATTGTGCATGGCATGTTTCATGACAATTCCTTTCATGATATCTGATTCCGTGTAGTGTAGATTTCTGCTGATGGGCGATCGTTTCATGGTGACATTCCAGTTTAGAAATCCATCATTTTGGTATGTCTGAAGCAAGCACCAATGCAGCAAGTCTTCGGCATGTCTGTGGGAGTTTCGTTCGACAGCCCTGTCAAAGGATTGTTCAAATCCAGCACCGCAATAGTCGTCCATGGAGTATTTACCTGGTACTTTTTTCCGTTCCCACCCTGTGAAAAATATTTGAAAGGGTTTAAGAGTTTGTCGGAGCCCCACTAAATGGCGGACGGCGTCTCTAGTAGCCTTGTTTTCATCGGTTGCCAGGGCGTATTGGTTCAAGAAGCGTGGTAAATCATGACGAGGAGAAACCCCCGTTGGATAGACAATGGCCAAATGATGAGGAGGCCATTTGAAACCAGGATTCTTTTTCATCGACTTGAAAAAGATGCTCGGTTTCAAGTACAGGATCCCACCCATAAACACCAACAGCGCATTCAGAACCAGAGCATAGTAGAACTTTTGAATGGAAGAATGAGACTGCGCTGACATGCGAGCGATCCGACGTTGTTGCAGCTTCTCTCTCTTGCTCTCCTGTGCGATGCTTTGACGAAGACGGGCTGCCTGAGATGTGTTGTCATTGTTACTATTACTATTAATTGAAGCAGAAGTAGTAGTCTTGGTCGTCGCAGTGGTGTCTTTACTCGACGATTGGCTGCTGGTGTGAACGTGGCGCTTGCGAGCACCCTCTCCACCACCTCCTGTCACTGCAGCAGCTGCTGCTGTTGCCGTCATGGTGGTTGTGTTGGATGGTTGGACTTCAGAAATTCGTGGTCCTTGGTTGTGCCGTCCTCTGCGACGGCGGCAAAGGAAAAGAAAGAAAAGATCCAATTGACTCATCACTCGACTCGACTCAATCGACTAAGTCGAGTCGAGTGACTGTGCGTGAGTCCTCAGTCACTCTACTGACTGGACTCGTCACTCGATTCTGGTTCGATTGAATCGAATCATTCATCTTCGAATCGAATCAGAATCAATCTCAATCGATTGAAGATTCAGACCTTCTTTCTTTCTGCGTCAAAGCAAAGCCAACGTCATTGCTTTAATAAAAGTTTGAAGCTGCCAACGAAAGCAGGGTTCTGCATGTCACCCAACACACCACCAACACAAGTACATCATCACGTCAACTTGGGCAGCAATCAGAGACACTCTGCACTTATTTGCATGGGCTACAGCATCCTCTCCCAATCAATTCTGGTTGAGTTGCAATAGTCTAGTTGACCTCAGAGAGAAGATTGCCAGGGACATGAGCTACCCTCAATTTGGTGAGAAGATGAAGTCATCAACAAGGACAAAATCCAATGACAAACAACGCAAGTTCAACCTGCTGCTTGTGGCGACCTTACTCTGGCATCAAGTTCCAAATGGAAATGCCTTTGCCCCCACTTCGCTGCTGAACAACAACCACTGTCATGGGCCAAGCTGTTTTCCGCAAAAATTTCGACCCACGGGCTTGAATCAAGGACGACCTTTACCATCAATATCATCATCAAGACGGAAAAAGTCCACTGTCCAACTCCATTACCATCATCACATTCACTCGCTACTGGACCCTGTTACCCAAGGAATCGCTACAGTGGTAGCTGCAGGAAGCGCCAAGTTTCTGTCTAGATGGAGAACATACTCTTTGATACCTTTCATTGCGGGCATTGTGGGATGGGTTACCAACTATTTGGCTGTCAAAATGAGTGAGTACCGAATCGAACCGAATCTGATGCAGAGATACCCATGCAATTGTTTGTTATCATCAGATCATGCAGCTCAGGATCGCTCTTTTTCGTTGCTTCCTGCTTAGTTTTCTATCCCATCAAATGGAGAGGTATACCGTTATGGACGGCAAGATCATCATCATTATCATCCTTGGACACGACAACTCACAGCCAAAGTGATGATGGAATTGGACCAGCCCTAGGGCTCGGATGGCAAGGGATTGTCCCTGCCAAGACGGCGAAAATGAGCGAAGCAATGGTCAATGCCACTGTCAAACAACTCATCAAGATGGAAGAGATTGTACAAAGGTTGGATCCACAAGTTGTGGCCGATCTACTACTGCCACAGGCACCCAAAATATTAGGACCACTCGTGGAAGATCTCTTCTTTCGCAATGCTACGGATGCTGCATCCAACGACAGCGACGGCAGCAGCAGCAACCAGAACAACTCCCCCCTTCGAGAGTGGGTTTTGAAACTTGCCTATACTCCTGGACCGGTTCAGGAACGGTTCTGTCGCACCTTTCTGATTGCCGTCACAAAAGACATTCAACGATATGTCAACGAAGTACTCAATCTACGCAACTGTGTGGTAAATCAGACCATGGCGGATAGGTGTGTGTCCCTCTCTGTGTGTGTTTGTCTCAACAACCAACTACCCATGATGAGACGATCGAAGTGTCGAGTCTGCTCATGTCTTTGGAGTTGACACTCACACTATCATCTTTGTTCTATTGACATCCAAACTTCCTAAAGGTCACTCTTGGGGAAACTATTTCAGATTGCAGGTCGAAAAGAGCTGGCATTTCTGGTGGACAGCGGTCTATGGTTTGGCTTCTTGCTGGGGCTGATTCAACTTTTTGTGTCACTGGTGTCAGACAACCCGTGGACACTCAGCTTTGGTGGCCTCGTCGTTGGTCTCGCTACCAATTGGTTGGCCCTGAAATGGATCTTTGAACCGGTCAATCCAACTCACATTGTGGGTAACCTCTACCTACAAGGACTTTTCCTTCGGAGGCAAAAAGAAGTCTCGGCAGACTTTAGCAACTTCTTTTCCACCAAAATATTGACATCCGAACAGCTGTGGCACTCCATTCTAACAGATCCATCCACTGCACCAACCTTTGAAAGCATCTGGGCAACAAATCTAGAAAAAATGGCCTTATCCGAAACTCGGGGCCTCATCGAGTTTGAAAAAGCTGATCTCCAATTCGCGTCGAAAAGAGCCACAGCACGAATCTATCCGCTTTTGGCGGACTTGCATCCCTATGTCGACGAAGCACTCGATATTGAAACAACACTACGAACTCGAATGATGGGTATGACATCCGAGGAGTTTGAAAGAGTCTTGCACCCAATCTTTGAAGAAGACGAGATGACCCTGATTGTCGCAGGTGGTGGGCTTGGGTTTGTTGCCGGTCTCATCCAGCAGGGCCTGGCGGTGGGAACCCTACCGCTGTTGCCGCAATGGCTCCTCAACGGCCTGGCTACTGGAGGCATTGCGGTTGGAGCGTACTCGATATACTTTGCGTCGCGAACCAAACTCGACACCTTCAGAAGACGGATCTTCAAACGGTTGAGGGACCCCTCCAAAGTTGCATTTGATGCAATTGACAGCAACGGTAACGGCTACCTGGAGCCCCGCGAAATCTCAAGAGTGGCTCAAATTCTGGGGATCGATCTTTCCGAAGAGGAGCTGTCGCAGGCTTTCGACGAGCTAGACCAAAACCACGATGGAAGGGTCAGCCTGGAAGAGTTTGAAGATTGGTGGAACAATGATCTTGGGACAGACTTTCATCGCAAGCTAGCCAAAGAACTTGGGCTTCTGAAGAGACGAAGCAGGACACGACGAAAGTGGTCGAGGATGAAACAACGTCTCAAGTATCGTTCGTCCTTGGGATCCATGTCGTAGAGTAGGAGTGCAGCAGCCAAGAGTTGGCAGGCCGCTAGATGGAGCAGGCTTAAATTCGCCCTTACGAGCGACGCTTCCACGGAGTCAACTTGTTTCCACAACACCGCACGAGTCCTTGTGACGCCGATCTTGCGAAACGAGGCCTTGCCTTGCATGTTGAACCAGATTGTTCGATCCACTGCTGGTGGTTGTTTCTTGCAAATCGAACGATGCCACGGTAGCGTTGCCAGACAATCACACTCCCGAGCTCGAAGGACCAAAGTTACAGTTCACCTGGTATCAGAAACCGGAGGATCATGGAGCGTACTCCTCCTTTTACTCTTGACAGAGTGATTCGATTCCCTGCAATATCTTTTGACTTGAACATCAGTGCTAACTACTAGCTAGGAGAAGTACTGGGTAGTATAACTCTTGCGTTGTGTAGATACCGGTATTTGAAACCTCGCGAGTAAAGGCTATCGATTGCTGGTGCGTTCCTGAAGGATTACTCATTCCTTCATCGCGACCATGGATGTCAATGCCGAGGCTGTGCCCCGGCCTCGATCCCTGCAAATCTTGAAGCTGCATGAAAGGAGAGGTTTCACTGTACTGTTAGCTTCTCCCTGCGACCTGAACCCAGTTACCGATAGTTCGTCTCCCTGCCTCTCAGTGGTTGCAGTACGATACTGGTAGAGCCTCTTGAGTATACTGAATACTTGGTCAAGATGGAGGAGGCAGCTGTGCCCTGTGCATGGGAGAAAAGTTGTTTCTTCTGTTGCTGCGTTGATTGTACTTCTGGCATCATCATCTGTTCTCGAGAGCTGCTCGAGCACTACCTGTAATACCTAGCTAGCTAGTACCAGATAGTTGTCATACGATTTTAACAGAAAGTAGATGCTCCTGAGTGCTACAGGGACCGGTCTCGCGATGTCAACCTGGTAGCTAGAGTCTACCAGAAGAGATTAGGTATTTCAGATCGCTATGGGAACCGCAACCACCCAAACCAAACAAAAAGGCCTCTGCCAGCAAGTACTGTAATAAACACGGAACCAAGATCTGATGCTTCGTTAGGCTTCAAGCTCTACTACACTACTACACTAACTCACTATCTAGCTAGCTGGCTAGCTAGCTACGGTTGGTAGCTAGCTAGTAGCACACACCTTGCGCATCGAAGCATGGTGGTACTAGCGTACTAGCTAGTATCGGTAGATGCCAGGCATTCGGCAACGTTCGACCCCACTACCGGTACAGATGTACTCTAGTAGTAGAGTAGCTCTACTAGCGGTGTTAGTTGCCTCACTGGTACACTGTACACTGTACCGTACACTGCGTACGTACCTTACCGTGCGGTACCAATTTTCATGAAAATGTCATTTACCGTACAGCGTACATCGTACATTAATAAAAATAGGGTCGGGTCGAGTCATGTTTTTCTGGCACAAGCCAGGTGGCGCTTTCGGAAATCTACTCGAATTCGGTCCCAATCTACTTAGAAATACAACCCAGTATGCCAGTTTGAGTTCGTTCCCTTCTGTTCCTTTTTCCATTCAATTAACAAATGACTTCTCTTGCCTGGATATTGAGGTCATTGATGACTATCAGTCATTATTCGAAAGGACCGCTTTCCTACGTACACTCCAAGATACAGTGGGTGCCCTTCAAGTCGGGCTTCAATGAAACTCTGTGCAATAACAAATCCCAGATAGTTCAACGATGGACCTTATCTATCGGAAGCCCGGCTATGCAACTAGAACCCCCTCGATTGATTAGGGATGCCGGCAATGTTCCGCTGAAGTGGATGAAACCTTTGCTGGAACGACCATCCGATAGACCTTTCCGCCACAATCGAAGAAGAGAAAAGAGGTTAGTTTACTCTCTAACACTATTAATACACCTACACAGTTCAGCACTCCAAGACGAGAGCAACATGGCGACGGCTTCTCTTGCGAGAGGCTCCGAAGGAGGTGGTAGCCTGAGCCAAAGAGCATCGATTGCGAAGGAAAAGGGCCAAAGGGCAATGATGCTGAGCACCAAAGTTAGGAGCCTTCGGAATCTCATGGCTTCAAACCCCTATCAGCTTGGATCCAACCACACTTCTACTTTCGCCGAAGAAGAAGCAGCAGTCGATATTGATGACAGCATCAACGACATTGATGATACAACGGTCGACCTGGACGACAATGACGAATTTGCCCTTCCTGACGACGAGCCCAAGCCGAATAAGAACCATAGCGAGGGACGCAGGCTAAGGTCGCCAGGGAGCCCAGCCAGTGTCATCAGCGGGCACGACACGGTCTTTCGCAGCATGGAAGAGGGACCCAAAGTTACGGAATCGCCTACAAGCAGTAGCAGCACCAAATCCAAACCCACTTGTCGTCGCAAGAGCTCCAAGACGGGCTCTGCTGGTAGAAAAAAAGCTGGGAGCAACTCGGGGAAGAGACACTCTCACCCGACAGCAGAAGAGCTGGGATACGAACAAGAAGACGACGCTGTCGGTGCTAAGAAGCGATCTTCTCATCCAACCGTAGAAGACCTGGGTTATGAAGACGTGGACGCCAAGGAGCCAAGGCGTTGCAGTACCGGTACCGGGGCGAGAAAGAGCTCACATCGTCAGCCACCAAGTCCCGAAGAACTGGGATACGAGAACACCAATGCCGTTGGTCCTGTGCGGAGAAGGAAAAGTAATGGGGTGAAAACATCCCGACAACAGCGACGTCGTAGCAAGTCTGCTGCATCATCGGATGTCGAGTCAAGCGACCTTGAAATGGATGACCAAGGTCCACGCAGGGAAAGGCGCGCTGGAAGGAAACCAACCAATGCAAGACCGGCCGCGAGAAGAACACTTTCACGACGCTGCAGCACCGGGTCCAGTGACGAAGACTGGACGCCAGCACAGTCCGGCCGACGCAGGGCAGCAAATCGTCGAATGAGCACGGGAGTTTCGCCGAAGGATGGCTCCCTGTATGCCGCACACAGCGAAGACGAACGACTTGGATCTGAGCCTGGCAAAGAAGGAGCTCGCAACAGCGGTGGCAAAACAGATGAAACTGGAAAACCAAGTAGGCGAGATGCCAGGCGAAACAGCCTGTTGTCAAGGGCTAGTAGTGTCGGTGTTGGGCTGGGTAGCAGCAGCAACGGAGCTAGCAACAGTGGCAAAACAGATGGAAAACCAAGTAGGCGAGATTCGAGGCGAAACAGCCTCTTGTCGAGGGCAAGTAGTGTTGGCCATGGGCTCGGTGCCAACAACAACAAAACTCACGATGAGGGCAAGTCAGATGAAGTTGGAAAGCCAAGTAGGCGAGATGCAAGGCGAAACAGTTTGTTGTCTAGGGCAAGCAGTGAAGGTCATGGGCTTGGTGGCAGCAAAGAAGCTGTCAATGAGGGTAACTCAGACGAAACCGGAAAGCCAAGCAGGCGAGATGGGAGGCGAAACAGTTTATCCAGGGCAAGCAGTGTTGGGCATGGGCTTGGTGGTAGCAAGAAGGGTTGCAACGGTGTCACTTCAGAGGAGGAAGACAAAGGACATAGTCACGGCAGGAATCTCAAAACTCGGCGGACCGCGAGCGAACGAGCACTTGACGAAACAGACTCTCAGGAGAAGGCTTCCACGAATCCTTCATCCTCGGGTAAAGGCTTGAAGAGTAGCAGAAACGAGCGAAAGCATGCCGCTCACAGGAATCGTTCGAGGTTTGTCAACCAGAAAAGCTGCAAGTTGGCCCCAATCAACCGCCGTTCCAAATCGCTTCGAAACCTGATGGGAGAAAGCTCTTCGACTAGTTCTATCCTGAAAATCGATGGGCACTGCAGTGGTAGCGGCAGTATCAGCAGCGTGACGATGTCGACCGGGGTCGCCAGCAAGGATGACTACAGCATCTCTTCAAAAGGCCCTGAATCGTTCCAAAGAGCAAAGTTGTCCTCTTGTCCCAGCAAAGAGTCAACAGGACCCGAACGTCGCGCTTCAGCCTTGTCTCGGTGGCAATCCGATCCCCAAAGTAGCCCGAATGCCTCAACCGAGGGCATCCCTTCTGGCCAGGAAGTTTCCAACATGTGCGCTAAAAGAGTGCCCCCTCTTGCACAGGGGACCGCGAACAATCTCAGAGTCGGAGCACCCCACCCTGTAGCCCCGAGGAGGCAACTGTCTGCTATGTCGGGGCACATGTCGAGGAATAGCATCGGATCAAAGCATTCGAGCGATCTCCAGTCGCTTTCTGAGGCAGACAAGAACTTTGAAAGCAGCATCCGAAGCAGCCAAAGCAGGATTTACCCCGAGATTTTGATACCTTCGACGCCCTGCCGCTCTTCTGGAGGAGTCAGTGACGGCATGGTGAGCCTTCTCTCCACCCCTGGCTCGCATGCCAGCAGTAGACCGAACTCGCTGCAATCCAAGTTGCAGATGTTGAACGGAGATATGACTCCTTTGACATCGAAACCGAAGATGGGAGGACAAGGTTTCGTCGAACCGTCCACTCCTGCTGTTTCCATTGGAGTCAGTGAACTTGGAACTCCCAGCGTGACCGCTGGAGGGTATGTAAGCGAGTTGACGTTTGGTAGCAGCGGCATGACTGGGAACTCATCATTGCTAAGTAGCCAAAGCCAGCGGAGCCCTCTTGATACTTGGATGACGAATGTGAAGAGGGTGACGCTCCACGAAGGGGAATACAACAGAGATGCCACCCCTAGGATTGTTCGACGGCATTCTCTCGACAGCGTGAGCTACGTGGAAGAGCAACCAAGGAGCAATGGCTTGTCAAAGGACAGCGACAACGCTCCAAAGGCGCCATCACGCCAAAAGTCCGTTGCAAGCATATTGTTTTAAGGCAAATCCCAGAAATATGAACCGTAACTCGATTAGGAAGAGCTACAGTACAGTAGCTTCCATACTAGTACTAGATGTGAGTTGGGGTGAGCATCAAGCAATTGATTTCTTTGAGAAGAGCTGGTTTAGACGCAGATAGCTTGACTAGCTACTAGTCGTGCGCGGTCGATAGCGCCGGCACGGTACAATCGTACCCTAAAGCTCGCTCACAGAGTTGCTATTTTAAAATACATGCAGCACCCACTGGAGACTTGTGGCCCACCTTGGATGATTGTATGATAGCATGATAGCCCAACAACACGGATGTGGAATGGAGAAGGAGCTCGAAAAAGGAGGGAGCTCATAATATTCGTTCTATCGAACTTATTCTATCGAACTCTTGCCTGTTCCAGTACAGTTCCGCGACGTCGGGACGTGCCCTCACTTTTTGCTGCTCAAGCAGCAATTTTTATTAAAACGAGCATCTTGCCCGCCGCCAGAGCCATTCAAGCTCCAGATCCGCCTTCATTATCTCACAAAATCAACAAACCAAAAACAAAACAAAACATGAACACTTCTACACCAAACACCCATGAAAAGGTCGTCATTATTGGCTCAGGACCGGGAGCTCATACAGCTGCGATTTACCTTTCCCGAGCCGAACTCCAGCCCCTCATGTTTGAAGGCCGCTTGGCGGCAGGCGTAGCAGCGGGTGGGCAACTCGCTACTACTACGGATGTGGAAAACTTTCCAGGATTCCCCGATGGCATTGGAGGATACGAGTTCACCGAGAGGTTGCGGGAACAATCTAGCAAGTTTGGAAGTCGCATCCTCACCGAGACTGTCTCCAGAGTTGATTTGTCGCAGCGACCATACACCATCTTCGGAGAGAGTGGCACTGTCGTAACCACGGATTCCATCGTCATTGCTACTGGAGCTACAGCCAGGAGATTGGCGGTGGGAGATGAATACTGGCAAAGAGGAGTCAGTGCTTGCGCTGTTTGCGATGGGGCAGCGCCAATTTTTCGTCGGAAGACACTCATCGTGGTGGGCGGAGGCGACTCAGCCATGGAAGAAGCAATCTTTCTGACAAAGTACGCGTCAAAAGTGATAGTGGTGCATCGTAGGGACGACCTTAGAGCGTCCAAGATCATGGCCACAAGAGCTCGAAAGAATCCCAAGATTGAATTCCTGTTATCTCACGAAATAAATCAAGTCAAAGGGGATGGAAGCCTGATGACGAGTGTCCTTTCTAAAAGTTTGATTACAGGAGAAACACTGGAAATCCCAGCCTCTGGTCTCTTCTTTGCCATTGGCCATGAACCAAATGTGAAGTTTTTGGATTCCCAGGTGGCATTGGATGGCAACAACTATATCATTACCAAGCCGGACTCTACTACTACGAGTGTGCCAGGCGTCTTTGCAGCGGGCGATGTCCAAGACAAGAAATGGCGACAGGCTATCACAGCAGCAGGAACAGGAGCCATGGCTGCGCTAGAAGTCGAAGCATATATGGAGGAAAACATGCAGCAGCACGAAACTGAAGGCTTGCCATCCCCAGCAGCGTAACTGTACATAGTGTGGATTCTAAGATGTCTAGATACAGTTAAGAAAGATCTCAAGACTAGTAGCTACAGTTAAGAAATTATCTACAGAGAGGTGGTGGTGTGGTAGCTTTCCATACCATGTTCTTGTTTTCATAGTTCCTGTACGACTCAATGACATATTGTATCCTCAGAATAACTGGAGTGCACCAGGAAGAGCGGGTTTTTACAAAGCAACTTTCCCTTTCGTGACACTTGGGGCACCCAGGGAGGAAGCATTCTAGAATGTGGTTAGCACGGCTGTGTTAAGAGCATTGCTGGTTGATGTGGAGCCTACTGAGGGCAGCAATGGAACAGAGTCCATATGACCTGGGTTGTGCCTGATTTGGCACTTCAGAGTTCCCAAAACACTTACATATATTCTTGGAAAGCAAAATTTGAATCCTGACCTATCAGCACCTTAAGCTACTGCAGAAACAGGTGATCCATTATCATCGAGGCTCACAAAGCCACTGTTCACCTTCAAGATTTGGCATGTCTAACAGCATTCACTTTTTCCAGTTCCAAGAGTAGGTCCTGGAGTGCCAGAAGTTGTGGTGGGTCCTGGAGTCACCTTTTCAGTTGTGGGCCTTAGGCCTGGAGTTCCAGTGACTGGCCTCAGTGCCTGATGGCTGGTGTTGGTCCTGGTGTCACCTCTTCAGTGGTGGGGGGCTGGAGTACAGAAGTTGGTGTTGGGCCTGGAGTACCAGAAGATGGTGTTGGGCCGGGAGTACCAGAGGTTGGTGTTGTGCCGTCCTGGGGTACCAGAAGTTGGTGTTGGGCCTGGTGTACTGGTCAGAAGATGGTGTTGAGCATGGTGTCGACACTTCAGTGGTAGGAGTTGGTCCGGGGGTACCAGAAGTTGGCGTTGGTCCGGTGTCGACTCTTCAGTAGTAGGAGTTGGTCCGGGGTGCCAGAGGTGGGTTGGTCCGGGGTTCTGGTGGCCTGGTGTTGGTCTGGGGTGCCAGAGGTGGTGTTGGGGGTACCTTGTGTTGGGCGGAGTACCAGAAGATGGTGTTGACATGGTGTTGACACTTCAGTGGTAGAGTTGGTGGGTTCGTGTTGGTGTTGGGCCTGGTGTGGCTCAGTGATGGTCGGGGGTCCGCAGTTGGGTCCTGGTGTAAATGGCGTTGGTCCGGGTACCAGAAGTGGGTTGGTCTGGTGTACCAGAGCTGGGTTGGTCCGGGTACCAGAGGTTGGTGTTGGGTCGGGAGTACCAGAAGGTGTTGAGCATGGTGTTGACACTTCAGTGGTAGGAGTTGGTCCGGGGGTTCCCGTGGTTGGTTGGGCCTGTGGTGTGACTCTTCAGTAGTAGGAGTTGGTCGGGGTACCAGCAGGGCGTTGGTCTGGTGTACCAGAGTGGGTTGGTCTGGTGTCCAGAGTGGGTTGGTCTGGTGTCCAGAGGTTGGAGTTGGTCCTGGTGTCGACTCTTCAGCACTTGGTAGGAGTTGGTCCTGGGGTGCCAGAGGCTGGTGTTGGGCCGGGTGTACCAGAGGTTGGTGTTGGGCCGGGAGTACCAGAAGATGGTGTTGGGCCTGGTGTCGACTCTTCAGTGGTAGGAGTTGGTTTGGAGGTTCCTGTGGTTGGTGTTGGGCCCGGTGTGGACGCTTCAGTAGTAGGAGTTGGTCGGGTACAGGAGGTGTGTTTTCGTGTGTACTCTTCAGTAGTAGGAGTACCGGATCAGCTGAAGCAGTGCACGTATCCTCGGCCCGGCTCCAGTGCGGGTACCGGTACTGTATGCATCTTCTGAGACCCGCATTGCTCTTGCTCCAAGGAAACACGACAACATGCAGGTTCTACCATACTGGTACCAGTACTGTTCCTTGGTACTTGTATGTGCTTTTCTGAGGGGAAGAAAGAGAAGCATCCAAGGCGCTCGCCGCCAAGCGCCAAGCTGCCAAACCCTCCATTGAACCGCCATTGAACCGCCAAGCCCTTCATTTGAAATGGAGAATCATTTTGATTGGGACCAAGGTGCCAGAGGCTTGGCATGCCTCGCCCTGGCGGGCTGGCTGGCTGTGATCTTTCTGGAGCAACTTCTGAAGTCCTTTTTGTCCTTGCTCATTTCGTCTCACAAATCCAGTGCAAGCAACAACAGCAAATTACAAACATTCAATATCAACATGTCTGGCCGTGGAAAAGGAGGAAAGAGACTTGGAAAGGGTGGCGCTAAGTGTCACCGCAAGGTATGTTAATGGACATGACCACCACAATGACATCAAAGCATCACGATTGCAGCATACCTCACTCAACTTTGTTGAGTGATCCTTCCTTTGCCTGAGTCTAGGTCCATCGCGACAATATCCAGGGTATCTCGAAACCCGCCATTCGTCGTCTTGCTCGCTGTGGTGGCGTGAAGCGTATTTCTGGTATGGTGGGTGATGGAAGCATGTTGGTTTCATGCACCGGGTATTGCACGATCTGGACTCCTCCTTACAAAACTCTTCTCTCTATTCCAAGATCTATGAGGAGACTTGCGGCATCTTGCGAGTATTTCTCGGTAGGTCATGGATAGCTGGGATGGAAATTATGTGCTGCCTGTGTTCTATCTGTAATGTCCAATCAAAGAAAAAACCATTTGAGATGCTTCTACTTACATGGAACATGCCCGTTGTAAGATCATGACCGCAATGAACGTCGTATATGCCTTGAAATGCCAAGGCAAGACCCTCTACGGATTCAGTGGGTAGACTACGATACTGATTATCATGCCTGACAATCAATCCTGACCATTTACGATGCCGATTATTCCACATGAAACCAACAAGGACCAAGCTTTAAACGGACAAGAGCAAACATTACACAATCATCTACCTACGGGTACCTGTTTGTGTACTTGCCACCATTGTTTCTATCATCTATGGCAGGCATCTTCCTGTCCTCCTCGTCTGTGCTCACTTCTTTAGGAATGGCACGAGCATGAGAGGACCAAGCGATAAATGGACAAAAGCAATCGTGCTTACGCTTGGTGCTTGCAGTGACAGCATTTTCCCCTCCTCGTCCTCCACCTTCACCCCTTCGTGTAATGGCTGGCACCTTGAAAGATTGAGACGTGGCTGCCGAAGCACTAGTTTGTTTAGAGAGTTGTGACACCACACCAGTCGCCGTGCCCTCGAGCTAGTTCCAACTTACCTTGGCCAGATGTCACTGACACCGCTGCTGGTACCATTGGAATCGAAGGTTGGGGTGCAGGTACAGGCTCCGCTCTCCCGGCTGCTGGTACCATTGGAATCGGAGGTTGAGGTGCAGGTGCAGGCTCTGCTCTCCCTCCACGTCGTCCTTGCCCACCATGTTCTAGTTGTCTTGCTCATCCTCCATGTCGTCCTCTAGGACTCGCCTTCCACATCCTCCATCGCACCCTGTATGGCTTTCTCTTCCTTGTGCATGTCTTTCTTGCGCTTCCCTTGCCACCATTGGAATCGGTGGTTGGGGTGCAGGTGCATGCTCTGCGATGAGATTTCGGGAGGTCTTTCCTCAGGGAACAACCTCTCAAGATCTCTTCCTCAGATCTCAGCTGGTAGTTAGGCAGGAAGGGAGCCTCAACTGGTCTTCCTCAGCAGGAGGATGGCTCTCAGTCAAGGACTTGGCCAGCGCCAGGTTGGGAGATCTCTGGTTGGTGAGATTCTCCCTTCACTGGGTCGTCAAGGCCAGCTCCTCAGAGCTGGCTGCCAATGCTATTCAACCACTACTGTTGGAATGGTTGAATTGCTACTATTTACCCTAGCATGGGCCACACAGGAACTGGTCAACTGCGAGACTACTGATATGCTATCGGGTCTCAGGTATTTTACTATTTCATTATTCTCAACTATGGACGAAGATGGGTGGATATCCATCTTTCCAGGCAATAAGCCAGCAAGCTGCCTTAGCGCTGCTACTACGAATCTAGAGCTCTTGCCCTGTAATTCATAGCTCTGCTCTCCCTCCACGTCCTCCTCGCCCACCATGATCTTGTTGTCTTGCTCGCCCTCCATGTCCTCCTTCTTGCCTTCCATGCCCTTGTCCTCCTTTGCGCCCTGCATCTGCTCCACGTCCTCCTTGTCCGCACCATGCATGTCCTTCTCTTCCTTGTGCTTCCCTTACAAGCTGTAGATTTCTCCATCTAGCGGCTCGACCCTCAATTTTCTGTGGTGGTCACGCTTGGCTCCACAAACAATCCTGTTGCACTGTACTCCATGATAAGTCGTCCGGCATGTTGGCGTAGGTCAAGTTCTGGAGAGAGCTGCTGTTGGTTTGTGGACCATGGACTTGAAGAGTGAGCATGATGCTTGGTTCACTGACAACTATAAATGGCAGAGCCCAACCAATGCAGCTCTCCAATTTTCAACCTGGAAGAATTGTTGGCAAACAGTACCGATATCAACCAACCGATTGCAAGCAACCAAGACGGCTCTCCCGTTAATTTTCTTCAACGAGGATGAATTATTTGTGAGTCGAGTCAATATCAATGCAAAGCCTTGGCCCCGCCGGCTTCTGTAGATGATTTCCCTAGCTTACTTTACTGAAAATCCCTATACTACATTATCTACTATGGTACAGTAGTAGCTAGCTATCATTGTATCAACCAACCGATGAAACACACATGTGCTACTCCTTGCTCAGTGCATGGCCATTCAGTTCAGTTGTGGTCCACAGTGGTACCAGGTACATACAGTGTACTGTAAACTGAGCCGACCCTTAGGTGCATGCTTGACGGCATGGGCCCATGGAGACTCGACTCATACTCGACGACTCGACTTGACTGAGGACTTGACTCAAGCCAGCTTGATTGCGAGCTTTTGAGGTGTCCCAAAAGCCCTCCTGTCACAGGAGTTTCAGTCAGGTTTGATAGTTTGATCGGTTTCAAAAATGAAAACTGACTGAAAATGCCCTCGAAATCAAAACCGACCCAAAACGAAACAAAGACAATGAGCCGTTGCCGCTTCACAAAAGCCACACACTGGGTTCATAATTTTCTTGCCAAAAAGAAGAACAACTCACAAGAACCATCATGCCTCGAACACGACAAGTACCACAGCCACACTCCCAACAAGATAGAGAGCTTTTGTTGATGATCAACATTGATGAACAAGCCATTCCTCTCTTGGAGAAGATTGGATTGAGGCGCATTAGGTCCAATGCCCTTGATCATATTCAGATGATGTTGCTGCAAGAGAAGACGCTGGATCTTGATATATTGGATCCACAAGAGAAAAGGATTCTCTCTGTTTGGGCAAGATACAGACATGTGGACATGGAGACTATCCAAGCGACGCGTAATCTGAGCGACGAAGATGCATTGGAGACCTTACAACACCTCAACCTCATCAAGACAATTCAAGAAAGTGACCTATATGCTATGACAACATTCAAGAACACAAGTATCGGGAAAGAGCTTGGATGTTTGCATGATATTGCAATCTTCATCCATGCCGTCGGCAAATGTTGTTGAGAGCATCGGGAGCCTGAATCCTTTTTGGGATTCTACCCATAAGACTTCTGTTCCAC